AAACGCAGCCCTTCTGACCGCGCCGTATAACGCAGACCGGTGTTGTTCGCGTAAACGATGAAGACTTCGACTTCCGCGACGAGTGCTCTCTAAGTGCTGCCGTTTGTTGCTAATGGACACTGACCCGACATCGTCGAGGGTTAAATTGAAGGATTTTACAACGCGCGGCGCAACTGCTGATATCGCGCTTTACTGTTCTCTACTTCGCACTTGTGTATATAGATCGAAGAAAAAGCACGGCGCGTCTCTTGTCTCGCGCCGCGCACGCAAGACACTTTTGAAAAGCAATTGAAAACTCACCGGGAAATCGATACGGGGAAAACGTCGATATTCTTGAAACTATCCCGGCGAACGTGTGCGTGCGCGCGACATATGTAAGTCCTAGATGGAACGGGAGTGCGACGAAATTTTATAAAGATCAGACGATCGCAACGGGCCGCGCGCTTCCACGATACTGGCCGGCTGTCTAGCGGCACTCGCTTCGCGACGCTGCCAGCCGGAGCGCGCGTACTCCAGACGTCCGACCTATCGCGGCCCATTGCCAAACCCACAACCGGGAGTCGAAGGATTTTCAAAAGCCATTTCGATGCGGCCAAAAAATCGTAACGCAATTTCCTATTTACAGCCAAAAGCTTCAAAAACCAATTAACACGTAACTCATTCATGGAATTTCAAGTATATCCGGTACGGTTTTTCGAGGCAAATCTCTTTCTCTTTTTCACATTTGGAGAACTCTACATTTGAAAAATTGCGAAAAAACGCGTTTTTCGCTTCTTGCGTAAAAATTCGCCAGTGAAAGTTTTAATCTTATATCTATACACAGTAATTTTTGCACATTGATGAATTTAACAGTAAGTCGTCTGTGATTGTTTACAAAATCGTGCATGTATGTGTATATATATATATATATATATATGTATATGTATATGTACGCACGACTTTGTTTCTTGTAACTGCCGCAGACTATTTCATATCCGAATCCAATCTCGAGTTTGTCGATTGAACGTGTGTGTTAGCCGCTTTTTGGCCGCTGTGGGATATCAATCTTTCAGTCAACAATTTTTATCTCCCGAAGTTGTTTCGTCCGTCTACATGATGAACCGTTCCTTTCTGTGCTTCGAGATAAATGAGATATTTCTTAATGTTTTTATCACTCGGCGAAATAATGACTTGTAATTTATTATTCGTATTTTTTGTTTCTTTTCTACGCCAGCCATATTTGATGATTTTCTGTGAGTTCGAAGCTGGAAACATTTTCAAAAAAATGGACTTCTTATTTTTTCTAAATCGAACGTTTATATTTCAAAACGCACTTGTAAACAACCCTTAGAAATAGTACAATATATTGATGCGATCATATATTTTCCAAAAAATTGACTCGCCTGTATAGAAACTGACGCAAAGAGAAAAATTGTCTTCAAACGCTCATGTAATCGGGAAAAAGTGCTGACCATAACTCACTAACGCGATATAAAGCAGGATGTGTCTAATAGATTTATTATAGGAAAAAAAAAACAGAATTTTCTTTAAAGTAACGTTTTGTGCTATATTGTCACGTGAACAAATATGTGAAATCCTGATACTTACAGACAGATTAAGTTTAAAGTTAACATTTCAAATTAACGTTGATGTTATTGCGTACAAAAATTGTCGGATATTTTCTGAAATAAAATTTGGTTGCACTAAAGTACGATTAGATTCTGACGAATAACAATAAATCCGATCTGACAGCAACAACATGCACTAGACAACATTTCGTAACTATTTGTTACTTTATGCAATAAGCACAGGTTTTTGATCACGTGGCCAAAAAAAAATCGCTGTTGCACACATACGCGTATATTGAAAATAGAACGGAGGTGAGAGTCGAGCAATATATTAAAAGTTGCAAAAATATTTGGTAATTAAATAAACAAAACTTTTAAAATATTACAATATTCTATACATATATGTTTATTCTTTATATTTATTTTTTATATACACACACACACGCGCGCAACTTGTTAAACTAAATCAAATAATAGGATTACTTATACAACAGAATGCATTTCCGTTGAATATTGCATTGTAGTCGTGCCACATAGAGAGGAGAGAGAGAGAAAGAGAGCAGTAGAACATACATACAATTTATTGATCCATTATCTAATAGAAACAATAGAAACAGTAAAGAGAGATACGACGTGTGGCTTCCCCGATGTCCTGCAATTTTAGCTACCGGACATTTAGCATTAACTTAAATCTTTAAGTGTTTTTTTGCAACTTCCTCGAGAACTTCACGTACGATTGGTGCTGCGGATCGCTTGTCTCTTTATTTCGCTCAAAGAACCCGATTTGTAAACTTAGGATTTCTGAAAATTCAAGGTTTTGTCGAGCAATTTTTATCGTTGCTACCATATACACGTGTTCTAATTCATTGAGAAATTTCGTTCGCGGTATCTACTTAGTAAGGGAAACAGTTGTCCTAAGTATATAATTATTTACTATTTTGGAACATTAATAAAGAGAGCAAAGAAAAAAAAAGAACAAACATTTTTTAAATTATAAAAAAAAAATGTTTTAATACAGATCTCATATAAGAGAGATAGTTTTATATTTACGTGTCTCTTTTTTTTCTCTTATTCCTGATACTATATCATGCAATTTGTTTTCGCCTGTCACACGCAATACGCTAAATACGTATATACGTTGTTTTTTCTGTCTAGTTTTTTTTAAATACAAATAACTTAAATGACAGGTCGTACGTAACGAAATAAATCTCATGGAACTGATTGTGTATAGCGCGTAAGCGCGGAATTTTTCAACGTGTTTCACTTGTATATTATTATAATTACACAAATAATTGAATTAACGAAAAAAAGTACGATCGCGATTATAGCGGTAAGTTGACGTTGCCGAGACTCAATGATTGAAATATTTCAATTACTTATGCACACAGCGCTTTCAATTGTCGCTTTGACCGAACGAATGTTCACCCAATTACAGAGCAGACGCAATATTGAAACACGACAGATTGATTTTTTTTTTTTTCAAAGAAAAGTGGAAAATGTACACGAATGATTATTCGTGTTTTTGAATAATACGTCTAATATGCAGTTGGATATAAAATTTACATGCAGTTTAATATAAAAATGTCAAATTTACTAAAATTAATAAATTTTGTAATATTCGTCTTTGTGCTTGCGCATTATATTTATGAAATATAAAAGGTAAATCAAAACGCGCGACTTATTTGAAAAATTAGCTGAAATTTTGTGTTTATTATTTGCGTCTTGAATTTATGCGAATCGAGATTACGCTGAAAACAATGCCAAGACCGCTTTTTCTCAAAGTTACGATTTAATCTTGCATAATTAATACCATGTGCATTTCTTTTAGTCCAGTGTCTTTCTGTCTCGCATAAGTATCTTTCTCTCGCTTCCTTCGTGTTTCTATTGGGTTGTTCGGAAAGTTTATAATGTTTTCTCATAAGTGGTATTACCGTAGATAACAACATGCTCAAGATATCTAAGTATATGCGAGACATCGCGCAGATACTAAAAATATCAAAATATGAATTTTTCACATCAAACTTATTTTAATAGAATCAATTACACACTTTGTTATTTATTTGGAGTATACGTGAATCTGCGAATCAAGTTGCGTAAGAAAAATATTTGTCACCATCCCGTGACGTGTCAGCTACCTATAATACGATATTTTTCTTCTCTTATTTTTACCCGGATCGAAGTTACATGTATAGGTAGATAGATTGTGTTATTTCAGATGTCCAGACGTCAGGATGGGAGTGTTAATTAGTGTTCGATTTTGCGAGACAGGAAATTAGCGAAAAATTTGTTATTTCGAGATGAAACAGAAAATTAGCGAAAAAATTGCGTATTTTTATCTTTATGTAACATAAATAAACGCTATAAACGAAATAATATGTACACATAAAACTAACTTTAATCCGAAAATATTATATTTTTTACTATCGATGTTCGTGTATTTATATGACGATGAGATTATTATGTAAAGAATAATAATAATAATTAACGTTATAATAGTATTGTTTAATTTGGATATCTCACGTAAAAAATAATTTTTCTCATTGCGTTGCGTTTGTCGTTGCCGCGTGAAAATTTAGATATGATCGAGGTTTTATTTTATATGGAGAAGAGATAACGGGAACCCATATAAATGATAGTGATATCTGGCGAGATCACGTCGGTATTTGGCCTCATAACTACTTTCACGCATACGATAAAATATCTTTCATACCAAAGCATATTGATGTCGCTCAAGTATGTACTCAATAGAGGAAACTAGTGCATCGTCCTGTTTATTTAAGTTTTGCCGCGTCACGTGATCTAATATATAGCAAAACTATAAAACCGAATAAAATTTTGCATTAAAATTGTTTTTAAAGAAAAGTTTCTAATCTGATATTAATTAGAGGAATTGTTATATATATAAATGGAAGAAGCGAAAGTATTTTCGAAAACGTATTACTTATACAGTCACACGCCATATATAACTAATTCCTCGAAAGATTCATTGAGACTTGGATATAATTTAACTCGGCTTGTTCTCTTTTTATTTCCTTTCTTTCCATTCTTTCTACGTAATTACGTGTGATCTTCTCAAACGGTAGCAATTTTCTTAATGCAATTTGACTAAGTAGGTAGATTAAGAGAGAAAATGCAAGTCATCCAAATAGAAAATTAGATCAAGAAACACATAAAATAACTATTTTAGCGTATTGCAGAAATTGTGCAGAACACAAGAAGATTGAAACAAAAAAGCTTTGAGCTTTTATTCTATGCACAGGACATATAAAATATATACGTTAAAAATACGTTTGTAATATAAACTATAACCACACAAAAATAAAAAGCACAGGACTTGAAAACAATAAAAAACACTATAATGTGAAAAAGTATACATTATTTATTTCGAAAAAGAAGTATACTTTGAATTTACCGACACCATAGTAGTAGATAACACAAAATGTACTATAGTAAAATATGTACTATAGTAAAATGTACCAGTAAAATATGTAATATATATTTTTAATACATTTTGTATGGCAGCTTTTCTCTTATTTATTTCAAATATTAATATAAAATGCATAATACTTTCATGGCACTTGTATAATTTCGAAATGTATGTTTTACTATTACTACATATATATGTCTATTTTTTTTGTATATAAAATATTGTATATTGATATGGAAATTGTAATTAACGCAAAAATATATGATCAGTCTTTCTGTTTTAAGCTCAATTGTTTCTATTGTACAAGAAATATGCATTTTATATTAAAAAAAAATTTTATATTAAAAAAATTAAGTAGAAGAATATTATTTGTCTTTGTATTTCACACAAATTTATAAAATTATGAGTCGTTCTCGGTTTTAGTGTAATACATTGAATCCAAAAAGCATCTCGTGAACTGACCGACGACGCTTCTGTCTGGAATGCTTTGACTCATTCCGTATACTGCGAGCTAAAAATATAATTATTTTACACAAAGTGAATTTCACACAAACATCTTATTTAAAGAAAATTTAAGTTCTCAATTGTGCGATTTCTACCTTTCCTTCTACCGGAGTATCTGGAGTTTTCAGAATCGTTTCTAATTCAAGCCTGACATCTTCCACAAATTGATCGGCAACTCCTGGATTTGTATGCACATGCGTGACGCATATGTGTATACCGCATGGGAATTGCAACGTGTTCAAGTTCCACCTTCCTTTCTCGCTGAGAGCTTCAGAAAGTCTGTAGATGTGAAAGTCCTTGGATCCAATTGCGATGACAGATGTCGCTGGCTTACCAAATATGAAAATTCCATTCATTCCTCTCAACCTACAACAAGTTTAACAAAAAAATATTGATATCCTTTAATTTAAAAATATTACTTCAAACATACTTTTTCTCAATATATTTCGTAGTTTCGATAATGTCCTTAGTGGACTCTACGTATCTGTTCAGACCAAAATACATTAACGTTGCCCAACAAGCGGCTATAATGCCGCCAGCACGAGAACCATTTACAGTCGGGGAACCGTAAATACCACCTGGCCAGTCCGTGCTTATCGTGTACTGATGATGCCGATATTTTTTGTGTCTGTACAATATCAATGAGGATCCTTTCGGAGCATATCCGTACTGAAAAAAAAATCATATACATATGTGCGCTTTAACTTTTACATCGCGTATTGATCAAGTACAGATACCTTGTGAGTATCAGCGGATATGCTTGTCACACCTGGAAGTCTGAAGTCAAAAGGTTCTATGTAATACCCAGCATTGTTCATAAAACAGGCTAAGAAACCGCCTAGACACGCATCTACGTGAACAGGTATATCATACAAAGTACCTAATTTAGAAATTGCTTCAATGTTATCCATTGTGCCATAAGGAAAGTTGGGTGCGGAGCCTACTAACTATTAGAAATGTTGAGCATAAAGCATAAAGTCTAGATATGTACGATAGCACCGTGTCGAGTCTCACCATTATTGTATTTCGTGTAATTGCCTTTTTCATTGCTTCAATGGAGACCGTAAAACTTTGCGGATCTACAGGTACGAGACAAATTTTTATATTCAAATATTGTCCGGCTTTGTCGAAGGCTGCGTGAGCAGTAACCGGCATCACTATCTCCGGCTTCTTGATGCCTTTAACTTCACGAGCATAGTCTCTGTAGGCTTTGCATGCTAACAGTATTGATTCTGTACCTCCTGTAGTCATCTGAAATGTTCATTGGAACGACTGTTGAGTTTGATGACTTCTATGTCTAATTCAGACACACTGTGAAAATAACATAAAAGCTACTTGCAGTTCCACAAGTTTCTTCATCTCCATGAAACAAGCCACAGGCTATTCTGACTACTTCTGCCTCCATTTTGCAAACACCTGGAAAGATGTCTGGGTGCAAAGGATTGCTGTATGATGAAATTGCATATACCTTTCCCATCAATTCTATCAGTTCATCCTCAGTTCTATAAACTGCACCAGACACACGACCTTCTCTCCAATTATAGTCACCTAGGGAACAAAAAGATGTTATTGGTCAAATAGTATTAACCAGAACTAAAATTGTGATTAAAATTTAATATTTAATTATATAATCTTACCAAGATAAACAGCTTCTTTTACCAATTCCAATATTTGTCCATTCTGTAATCCATCTTTAGGAAGATGAACAATAAATGGGGTACCTTGCAGTCTATGTAAAACATCCTTTTCAAAGGTTTCATTAATATTAGTTAATTCGTTATTTATTTGATCCCGAATGGAGGGAATATAACGTGCCAACTTAAACAGCTGTTTCTTTCCACGTTGTAAAAGACCTATACATAACATATATATGTATTATAAAAACGTACTACATGTCATAGAAGAATAACCTCAATTATTCATTATAGATTCTTTTTTTGGTCTTTCATTATTAGACTTCATTAGACACAATAAATAATTATGTTCTCGTCTCAATATAATATCATACTTTTCTTATCTTTCTTTTGCTCTGTTTTTGTGAGACAGAGAATAAAAATATAATATATCTATGTATACTTTGTAATGCTCTCACTTTCATCTTGAAATACAAAATTCCATAGCCACACTGCAGCTAATGTAGCAGTACTTGTCATAGCTACTATTTGCCATGGTTCTTTGCCTCGGAACACGTTATTTATAGCACCTGAAATAGGGTCTGCACAAGTACGCATTTTTACCTAGAATTATTAAATTCTAATTATTAAATATTATTATAAAATTATTAAAATCTTTATCATGATATTACGTGAGAATAAGCAAACTCATATGATATTGCGTTAATTGTGCATTATAAAACAGTTGTCATGTTGAGATAAGATTATGAATGCGCTAATCACATTCTGAATCTTAATAATTATATATAACATTAACTAAAATAATTTATTTATTTACCTAAAGCGTTGTGTTTATTGATATCACAAATGTTATAATTTTAATGAAATAATTGAATATACGTCTGCAAACTTATATATATGCTGTTACTTCGAAACAACTGATAAACAATGGCTGCTTTCCTTTTAGGAGACACAGTCGACACAAGTCGACACAAAAGTCATTCTGTCTTTGTTCAGTATTCAGTGAGAAACAAAGACAGAATGACTCTTGTGTTGACTTGTGTCGACTGTGTCTCCTAAAAGGAAAGCAGCCAATGACTTAAACTATTGACACCGATGACAAATAAATCGAACTTGTAGATCAAATCGGAGCTGTGTTCCGAAATTCATTGCCTTTTCGATACTGGAAATCTATAATATTTGTCACGTGAACTATAAATTTTCAGTACTGGATAAAACGGAACGCAATCCCGATCATATTATTAAGCATAAATCGAGTGTATTCACTAACGCCCTCTTGGTAAGTAACAGTAGAAACAGTAGGAGATAAATAAAAAAGAGAACAAAGACCAAAATCAAACAAAATAAACAATTAAATACTAAAAAGAAGAAAAATGAAAGAAGCATTATCAAAGATAAAATATAAGAATATAGTTATATGTACGTATACAGATATAAAATATACTTATATATACATACAGTTATATATAATAAAGTAAAAATATCGAGTTTAAATAATAATTATTTTAAACAAATATGTAGGATTTAAAAATTTAAATTGCATTTTAGCATAATATTTTTATACGCATAATATTTTGTCTTTATTTACAAATAGTCTTGATAATCGTTAATGTATTTGGTAACAAAATTACATTGCACATATACAGAATTATCGTTAGCACTAAGGCAAGAACTGAATTAACAATATTATGTCATTCATACAAGAAAAATCGTTCCAATCAGATACAATATATATATATAGAATCTCCTTATAATATACTCAGTCGTAAAATTTACATATAGCATTTGTTTAAAGCACAGTTTTAATGCTACATCGATAAAGAGAAAAAATTGGAGCAAAACAAAAAAAAAGAGAGAGATAAGAGAGGGTTACACATCTATAGATACAACTTAAGCTAGGCCGAACATTTTGGAGCTCAGTCACGTGTTAGATGTCTATAATACGCGTTTGTAAAAAACTGACTAATAAATAATTTTTAGTAGAGAAAGAGAGAGAGAGAGAGAGAGAAAGAAGAAAAGAAGAGAAAAAAGAAGAGGAGGAGGAAGAGACAGAGATTTACTCTACATATATCCTGTGTAAATCTTCTTGCTCGCTCTATCATATCCTGGGAAAACACATGGCCCGAATGTGCAAATATTATGTGTAATAATACGCGTGAAAATAACGACAAGCCTTCCCATACGAGGCAGCTACATCATCAATTTGTGTTGATTGAAAATTCGACGTCGAGTATTATAATCCTGTGTATTAAATAGGCGGTTTCGTCGAATGCAAATGTAGGCACTCTATTTAACGGCGTTGAAGCGTCGCGCGATTTTCTACACAATAATGCGCTAAAGTCGTCGAAGATTACAAAAAGAAGTTACGCGTATAATATCTCTTCCCTCATTTTTATATGTGTACGGATATAATCACAGCATCGATTATTTGACTAGTAAAAACCGTCACCTCGTCTTATCTCGTACGCAACAATCCTCGAATTTACACGCGATCCTCCGATTATATTTGGAATACGTATTACGAGTGAACTCACAATTCAAGAACTCGCATTCACTGGCAATTGTTTCTGCCGATTGATTTTCGTGCATAGAAAATCGCCGCTCGTGTAAATTCGAGGAGTTCGGAGAGGCCTTAATTACGACAATGTAACGTTATGTTCATTTACTTGCGTGACTCAAGTCCGCTCTGCTCGGCTGAATCTGTGGAATGCAATGTCTACGCAATAAATGAGATATGTTCGGATCGGAAGTGGATATTAATGATGAATGAGGTGCTAATTCACGTGACGTGTGACGCAAGGACAGCACAGAATTGCCTCAGTCGTGCGCGTGTTACTATTTAAATGATTTCTCTGATTCTCTTTTTTCATTTTGAAAAAAATATTTCTGTTGTGTTATTTTTCTTTTCGGCAATATTTAAGAGTTAAATTAAATGGCGATAACTTTACGTTACTTTACAATCGTACAGTTATATTAAAAATTTTCCAGTAAATGTATCATACGCTCGCGACTGAAAGAGAAATCTCTGCGGAGTACAAAAATCCTTTCGTTATATCGTTACGAGTAACTCGTGAGCTCGTACCGATTAATCGACACTCCGATTTCACTTAAAAACCTCTCGAAAAAAAATTCAATATACACGATCATCTTTCCCGCATAAATTTGCGATTCATATTAAAATAGCGGTGAAGACGAGAATAGTAAAATGAAGACGACTAGAAAAAAAGTGAATCTCTTTTGTAATCATACGAGACCTACCGTTCTGTACTTCGACGATCCGTGTGGCGAGGGAGATTCTACGACTATCATCGCGCTAAATAACATCGCGCTCGTGAAAATGGGACGTTTCGAAACCAAGATGCGAATATATATGTGAAGTACATAGAATGTTATTGTGCACGATTCGATATAAAGGCATCTCTAAATCCTGATGTTTCGCGGAGCAGCACGCGGGTTTACAACGATCAAAAGTGCACACGTGGAGAAAATATATAGACTATACATTGCATACAATGTAATTTCTCAGATCTCTTGTCTGACGCACAGTTGCATCGGCATTGAATAAAAAAAAGAACAAGAAGACCTCGAACCTTCTGCACGTGTCTCGTGATCTAAAACCGATCCTTATCTAATCTGCATGAGAGAGAGAGAGAGGAAATTGACCTTGACTCTTTAAAGTCACGACCTCCTGCACAGCGGACGGTGAATCTTGCATGTTTTTCGGTCATTTATATATGTACATACATACGTACGGCGCAGCAATGCAGATTTGTGACGCACCTACGTATCGTTTGTAGAATCTTTTGTGTCTTTTGTTTGTTTCGGGCGCCCCAGTCACGGAACTCGGTACGGTGAATGTTTTTTTTCTTGCTGACAAAACCGCTGACACACATCTGTTTTGTGTGTCACATAGGCCTGAATATCGATCGTGACCGTAATAATTTTCGATATCGACGAAGTTAGCACCATGGTGATCGTGCGAATCGGGTCGTTTTTTTACTTAAGTATGTTAGTGTTACAAGACGACTTAGGTCATACGCCTTCATGCGCACACTCCCATTAATACACACGTGCGTACTTCTGCAATGATCTCTTGATTTTTCTTTTCTTAAAAATTAGTCTGTCCTGTGTTTATCGTTAAAATGGCGGAGACCATTACAGGCCGGACGTCAAACGTTATATTATATTACTATCGTTATTCTTTATTATCGTTTTGGTAGTATTATTATCGTTATCATTTATTCATCGTTTGTTTCATTTTATTATCGTTATTTTCACCAAACGCGTAAGAAACATTTAATTGAACAACATGAAACTCTCTCGCGTACTGCGCGAGTCTGTCAATAATGTTATTTATATATCTATATATATATATAGTATATGTGTATATATAAAATTCGAATACACACTCGGCTGACCGCAAAAATGAACGAAGTGAACCGTCAACAGCGTCACTAGACTCCAACGTGTCGCATAAACTATACAAAAACTGAGCGCTCGAAATTGGGAGAAACGAAATATTTTGGACGGTACGACGAAAAAGCGTTCAACAAAACGTTTACATTTAGCTGTCGCAAAATCTTTGTGTTCCACTCAAATTCAAATCGCTCGCAACTGCATTCAGCGCATCAACGTGTGTGTGTGGGTGTCTCTCTCTCGCTTTACTTCGTTTGCACATTGCCCGAAACATGAAAATTCGCTCGTTCCCGACGAACATCGACGTTGTTCTCTCTCGATAGGTAATTCTTCATTCTGCCGCGAGAAGAATCGATGATGCGTAATCGAGAATTGCGTGTGTGTCAGAATCAGTCTATCGATACGTACTGTGCTTTGAATAATCAACTGTCGGAACTTGCGCGAACGGAGCTTTTCGTGATCTTGATCATTTTTGCAAACTTTTTTTATCCATTACAGACCGAAGTTTTTTTTTTTTACTTTTCGGCACACGATTATAAGTACGATACATTTAGCGAAGTCAGTTTTTACCACGTAATTCAGACGTGTAAAAAGTCACAATTACTTGAGCCGTTGCGTGACGTTCGCCAACGCAACGGCAAATGCCTGCAAAGCGCTGAACGGATACTGAAAATCCAACGTGTACGCGTTGCCATCTATTCGTCCGAATTGCATCACCTGAAAATTTCGATGATATTTTCATCCGAGACAAATTGTAAGCGCGACGAGAAAAGAAAGAATTCTTACCTGTCTACCCTTGTACTCAATCTGAAAGTTCTTCGCGCTTTCCTGAGTTACTCTGCCACCGAAATCGAGCTGATACACTTGGCTGGATTCGTTCCACATGGGTGCTTTATTGTGCATCACCAGTTGCGCGTCGCGCCTTATCGCTTCTGACTTCGAGACTCCAGCTCCTCTCTGCCTGAGCTGTAAACAACATTTCACCGTGTTTCTTCGCGCAAAATACATATATATATATATTCATATAAAACATACGCCGCATATATACGGCGAGTTACGAGTTGAAAATACAATTTTCCAATACGGACCTTCTGACGTAGCTGGGCTTTCTGGAACGTTTCCAAGTCCCGATAAATCTTCGTCGACGTCGAATCGTCCTGCAGGAGCCCTTCCTCGTCCGAACTCTCGCCGCGGTTCTTTCTTATTCGTCTACTCAACAGCGGACTCGACAAAAAGAGCCTCCTTCTGATCGGAGAAGCTGACGCCGGTCTTTTCCCTTTCTTGGACGGCGCTGGGCTGTTAGGAGAACTTCTCGGCAATCTGTTATCGAGTGGATATGAGTAACTTACTTAAAGATCCGCGCATATATACACGTTCGATAACATAATATATTACCTGGATGACGGTCGAGGTGAAGGAGGCAGAGAGGGTGGTAGAGAGGGCGGTAGAGAGGGTGGCAAAGAAGAAAAACTTTCATCGAAGTCCTGAATGCTCTCGGTGAGACCGTCGAGCGACGAGGCGAAAGATCCATTCAGACTCGATCCTCTACAATATAATCAACTTTTTTACTTAAAGCTGCTTCGAAGACATTTTCTTGTTATTTTTTTATCGCAATTAATTACTTACATCGCGGTAGATGGGACGGCTTCCGCCTGGCTCGGCTTTTCTCTGACAGTGGCTTCACATGCAGCTGCGTGCGCGTTACACTCCTCGCGTTTTTCAGTAGGCGCGAGTTTGACGTCTTTCGGCGATTCCACGGATTCGCTTTGTTTTGTCGCATCGGCGACCTCGGCGACCTCGGTGACCTCGGCGACCTCGGCGACTTCGGTGACCTCGGCGACTTCGGCGACCTCGGCGACCTCGGCGACCTCGGCGACCTCAGTGACTTCGGAACTGGTCATTCCTACCGTCTCTTCCACGTGTTTCGGCAATTGCGACGGAGCTATTTGCTCGTTACTCGGGAAGATATCGCTGGAGTCGAGGCTCTTGGACTTGCCGCAATTGCGAAGTCTGGGCGGTTTCGTGCTTGACTGATTCGCGTTCTGCTGATGGGGCTTGTTCCTTTTCCGTCGTTTCGTTTTGCGCGACACCAACACCAGTCTCTTGTTCGGCAACCTCAGATCTAGATCGCACGGGACCAACTGATGGTCCACCAGATCCAAATATCCGACGCTGCAGCTGCGGACTATCGATTCGTCTGTGAACATCAGACCGATACTGAACACCGTCGAGGTCCTGTGGACGCCGCGCGACTGCTCTGTCATCTTCTCGGCAATATTCTCGCGATTCTCGTCGTCGCTGAACTTCATCAGATCGTCCTCGGGGTTGACAGTGAGTGTCGCGGCGGTGTTTACGTAGCCGGGATTCGTTTTTCCGCAGCACGTGTGGCACTTGGGATCTTTGGGCTTTGTTAAGTACTGCGAGTACAACGATCCGAAACACTGATCGATGTTCTCTGGAAACTGGTAGGAACACGCCGGCGACACCGTTCCGTGCGCGCCGTTCTTAGCGAATAAACTGGAAGCTTGCCCGAGTGGAGCGCTGTTCGTAGTCGTGTTCAGGCTCGTCGCGCTGTTTTGATTATTTTTATTGTTATGTGTAAAACTGTGAGCGCTTTGCGTCGGAACGCTGTTGACGGAGTGCGACGCAGTCGAGACGTTACACTCACACGTCGTGTTACTTAGACCATTTATGTACACCGTTTGCGCAGGAGAGGTGCACTCACTGCTTTCTAGACCGTTTAGAATCGGCACTTGGGAGATGTACCGACTACTCGACGCTTCTGCGTTAAGCGTCTGGCCGTTCTGCAGAGACGTAGAGATGATGCTTGTCGGACAAACCGACAACAAGCTCGGCTTGTCGTCCTGCGAGATCTGATTAAGTTTGTTGTTCTCCAGCTCTTTCTTCATCGCTACACCGACCTGTTGATCCGCGAGCACGTTCTTCATTCTTTGAATACTATTGGCGTAGTCGGCACCCGTGGTCGAGGTCGCTATCAGCGTCTGCGTGGGCGCCACCGCGTTTTTTGGTGACTGCAACGCCGGTACGTCGCAGCATCTCGACGGATTGTGTCTCGGTGGTGTCCGATAAGTATTCGTGGGTGCGTTTCTGATGTTCTCGTACAAATTATCAATGTCCTGCAGATCCATATACGGCATGTACTCGCTGTCGTAGCGCTCGGTTTTCCCCATCGACGTCGGCAAATTCTCTTTCGCCAGGAACTGATTCGCGAGCTGAGATTTCGGACGATTCGGATGATTCAGTCGAGCGGTACGTGGGGTCATTGGCGCGATCGGCGGCAATTGCGTATCCGGAGTGGTTCTCGAGCTCGCTTCTTGAAAGCATTCCTCTTCGTCTTCGGAGAACAGATTGGGATTGAATGTCGGATCTGGACCTAGTGAGAATGAGAATTACATTCTTAATAGAATTTGTGCCTTAAATATTTGTAATATTTCCAATAGAGATCTAAAAAAAAACCACATCAATAATCACCTGCAGGCAGATCATCCCGAAGTTCCGTTATTGCGAGCGTCATTTGCCTCGGTTGTAAGTGCAGCAACGACGTTCGATAAGTAACCTGACCTAGGTTAGCGGGGATCGAATCCGCCAAGCCGTGAAACTTGAATTTCGTGCCCCAGATGTTGGACGTTACCTCGACCAGCCTTGCGTGCTGCGGACAGATACGCTGCATTAGAAATCCCTACGACAAACACACCGTCGCGCCCGCTTGTCACGCGAACGAGCGTACGTTCCTCTGAAACACGGAGGGGCTCGTCAGAAATTCGCGTGCGATTTATTTACGTCGAGAGGATGCAATTCTATGTACGGTAATAAAATGAGGCGTTTTAATAACGGCGATATAAATAGAAGCGATGTACACGCGTACCTCCGGCAACGTGTCCGTGTACGTGAGGTCGTGCGTTCTCTCATCTCGTTCCATCGCGTCGTCGTTCGATCTTTCTTCCCGTTTCTTTCTGTTCTTCTTTCGATATCGGGGCGAACCGCACAGATCCGCGGTATCCTTTTCGGTGTCCGAACCGTCGCTGCACCAAGGACAGTGCGACATGTCGTCGAACACCTGCAGGGTTTCCTGACTCTGCGGATCGAAAATCACGAACTCGGGCCGGATCTTGCTGGTGCGTCTGCCTTTCAGAAGCGGCACAAGACCGCCCAAATATTCTAGGTACAGCGTGTAGTACGGCACCGGTTCCACAGTGTGTCTGAGCATTGTGCAGTGCAACCGACTGCCTCCGGGCGGCGGCCTTGACACAAAGCGTCGCAGCTCCCTCGGTTCCGGCACGGAACATCTGAAAAATGCACAACGGCTCTACATCCGGATCCGCCAGGCGTTCCTTTTTGTTGGCGAAACACTTGTTCTCCGTCACTTAACTTATTTTTTTTTGAGTTGAAAAACTCGTAATTCTCTCGTAAAGTAACTTTTTTTTTTACCGTATTGTGTTCGCGAAAAGAGCGGCCACCGAAGCTCTTAATCGCGGCGGTAATGGAAGTTGTTGAACGCTGGATTCCCTCGTGAGTGCCGCTCTCACTGCTAATCTCGACAACAGTTGAAGCGAACCGACTCTCCTGCAAGAAATAAATACAATACCTACTTCAATGTATTCACAGACGCGTGATTAATCCGACGGAAATAATAGCCACGAAATATATTCGGTAGGCGCGTGTGTCCGAGGGAACGAAATAAAAAATCGTAGAATCACCTGGAGACCCATGCCGTGTGCACGCGCGTCCCGGTCGCTACGAAAAGCCGCTTGTCGTTATGTCCCCACGTCAATGCTGATACGGGACACTGTGGTGTGGGCCATAAAAAGTAACATCGCGGAATAAATACATTTTAATATATATTTGTACATCACGCAATGCGGAACAATCGTTCTTTTAGCGTACTTGCGTGTACGGAATCTCCGTGGTGTAAATGAGTGTGCCGTTGACCGAGTAAAACTTGAGGAGATTCGTGTACTCCTGCGAATTGCCTTGCTGGACGTCGGTTTCCTTCGTGCCGGCGATGGCCAGCAATTTCTTCGAATTGCTCCATTCCGCGTGCAGAGGCGGCTTCAAATTGCTGCGTATTGTGATAGGCGATACGTCGTCGAACGATCGCAGCATGACGACGGTGCCGTCGGCCAGGCAAACGGCCAGTACATAGGTTCGATCATCTGCGCTTGCACATATATCGTAAATGCATTAAATGCATCTCGATCGCGATTCTTCGAAAACGCGATTTTTTTTATCAAAAATCCATTCCTCAAAAAAAGCCGCGATTAATACCTTTTTGCGACCGATCGCACGTTTCGTCTTCCTCCATCGTGAATTTTTCGGCGCTCCAGGCCATCGAGGTGACACCGGCCGCTAATTGCACCTCCGATACCATAGCTCCGTGAACGTCCATCACGATTAATTGGCCCGAAGTAGTGCCGAAATAGACCTTTTTGTCAGAGAAAAAACGCCGGAAATGTGAGTAACATCATTTGATTTCTCTGCCTTATCCTAACAGTCGTAGACATTTTCATCGATAGAGAGAAGATCATAAAGAGAAGCTTTTAACCTGCCCTCGAGTTGCCGTCAGCAATGATTGAGTGTAACACTACCCCAGAATACTCGGGAAATGCTTCTATTAGAAAAAGACACTGCTATATCGTGTTTCACGCGCCGAGCAGTTTTTTTTCGTATTATTAATTATGTCGCAGTCAGTTTATTAAAGACGATAATCAGATTTATAATGAGCAAACTTCAGGTTTAATTAATTTCTTTCTCTCGACGATTTTACATTGCATTCTTTCTAATCAATTAAAACATCAATTAAATGTAAAAACTCTTGAACTTTTAATTTTACGAAAAATTTCGAAAAGAAACTTGGAACTTAAAAAAAAAAATTCTATATTTTTCAAACCTGCTGATCGTCCGGTGTCCAAATGCCGCAAGTTATCGTCGCTTTGTCGTTAAGCATTGACGACCAATATCTCTGACCGCCGACACTGCCGACCAGTACAAAACCATCCTGCAATAAAACATCGCGCAGTGCTGCAGATAAAACCTTTCGCGGAAAACGTGTACGATACAATAGTACGTTTTACAGCACGGTCGTAAATAAATACGTAAACTTTTTTAAATCTCTGAAAAGCGTTTTGTGTCACATTGAATGAAACGCAGTTCAAACGAAATGGCGAGATAGAAAGATCGGAAAAACAAATAAATGTTTAATTATCGGAATCAATTTATTGTAACAAAAGCGAATTATCTCTCTTTTGCCTTGTCGTCGTGCCATCGGAACGGTGCGGTGCAACGATCGAAAAACGCGTGTCCGAAGGAAAATTACGAGTTATTTTTACGTGAATAATTAACACTTCGATTCACCCTGTAACATATGAGAGCCATTCGACCATCGTGGGACCAGGAGAAGTGCGTGACGGGTGTATTTCTGTCGTTGATCAATTCTATGCTCCATCGACCGTCGTACTTGATCCAGACGAAGATTACACCTGAACTGTCGCACGAGGCCAATTTTTGATAAGGCTCGTTCCATTTCACAAGTATCACCTGCAATCAGATCAGCAAATCTCATTAATTACGAGCCGATAACTATTGTTATTTCACGCAAAAGATCTTCAATTTCCCGCTGTCATTTTATGATAGTATTTTGTAAAGACAGCTTCGTTGCCGCGCGCTATATAGCTTTAATATATCGTCGTAAATTGATCTCCGCCATTTCGTCGTAAACCTGTAATTAATTTTACAGGTATTAAATAACAGCAAATCTAAGTCGTAATTGGCACTAGGAATTTCTATTGTTAATTAAAATTGTCTATCGAGCTTATTTTGTTTCATCAACAAATAATTAAATCATCAATAATTAAACTCTCAATATGTTAGAATATATATTTAAATAAATTTATTAGAATATTGTACTTCGGCTGGAAATCTGATTTCTTTCAGAAATCTGATCGTCTTCTGATTTCGAGATATCGTTTCAAGTAGGTACGTGACTTGTTCGATCGACTTACACCTCTAAGAGTTTGAGAACATTAAATCAGTCTTTTGGGGAAGATGTAATCAGGGATATGTTCACGAAGAGATTAAATCGGTCCGATGTGACTCTCACTTTTCACATTTATCTGATGCTGCCAGTAATAATTATGAAGTAAGTTTCTGTGAGAATAAAATCACAAATAATGTACATGTAAAATCGAAGTGTCATTGCTCTATCGATCGATCGCTTTCTATGGCAGCGACGAGAGCGACGGTATCTATATATTTTTATCGTGCTGGCACAGCAAATAGAATTTTATCGGAAAATTATAATTTACGGAATAAAAATGTATATCTACATACATAAAGCAACAACTTGCTGTTACTCGCGTTGGAAACTATTTATATATTATATCTCTGGATATATTTTTTTTTTACAAGTTATAACCAATTACAAAAAGATTGTAAATTATAAACGTACATATACGTGTTATAAACTGTATGGTATTCAATCTTGTATTGTATTGTGACTTGCGCGACATATTGCGTACGCTATCACGCGAAATTTTACAATGTTTATTGTACTCGACAAAGTTTGTTTATGTTTTTTACGCGTGAAATTTGAGATTTTGATCTATAAAATTGTGCGATAATTGCGAATAAAATATAAATTGTCTCTCTTTATTTTGTAAATTATTGCTATTTAATCGCTGTTTAATCGTCATATTATTATTTTATTCTAGATTTCTAAAATGCAGGACGCGTATTAATGTTCCCACACAAAGCTTTGATCGACCGTGCGCTATTCTTTGAGGGATAGAAAGTGCAAGAGACGAAGTTACTAGGGTGAGCTGCGAAAAATGAGAAAGAGGATGCTGTACGTGACTCGCGTGGCGAGAAGATATACACGTTGTGTTTTTTCTCCATATATGTACATATATAGAGAAGAAAGATTTAAAAAGTTATTGATACTTTAACAGAACACAACACTTTTATATGGCTGAAACTTTTCTGAATAACGTCTAGCTAGATTTTGTTTTGCGACAAGTTTATGAAACATCAAGATTCTTTCAAATAAAATTGTATTATCTAAGTTTTTATTAGAAAATATTGGCAAATTTTTAGATGATAGTGACAACTTTTTCTCTTTTCCAGATTTTTTTTATAAGTTTAAACGGGATGTCTCTGTCGCGTAGTAAGTTGCCAATGGACAAAATTGTGTTACGATAAATTGATCTCACTTGATAAGAATAAACGAAGTTTTTTTCGTCCGAGGCTCTTTAGATGCAATAAAATCTGTCTGGGGATGTGTGCTGTAAGTTGTGGAGACATGATCGCGCGAGAAAACCGAGGCAAATAGCTGAGATAGTGTCAGGCAGCTGCTGATCAATAAAGTTCTGTGTGTATGAGCACATTGGAATTTTTTTCCGTGCCATCACAATTTACTTCGCATGTGAAAAAAAATTGCTCAATTCAAAAACATACAAACTCGTTTGCGAGAATTGTCTTTCGTATTTATTTACAAAAAAGAGACTGAAACATTTTTTCAAGAAACAATAACAATTTTATGAACTATATCGCCGGCAATTAAAGGAAACAAAATTATGCATTTTTATAAAGTAGCACGTACGAAGTTACAAATTGACGCAATGCATCTATTTTGAGCGATGAGGCCGGTTGCTATCATGATCACATTTCTGCAACGAAGCGCGTGATAGAGAAATATCAGTTTTTATATGATGCGTGGCGCGCCACCTCCGCACTTTCGTTATACGTGCACAACAGCGGAAAGTCATATTTTCCGACACACACACCATACATTTTTCGTCCGGAAGCCTGAATAGCACTCCCTGTTGACCTTCCAAGCCTCTTTTGTCTACGCGCACTCGGTTGGCATGCTTATATCGCAGGATGAGAACGCGCGCCACGCCTGATAATCCAATGTAATTGTATTTCCGAACGTGCTCGGCGGGTAGAGATTCGAGCGAGACTGCGCGTAACAATGCTGTCGCGTCGCCTTTCTTTTTCTTTTCCCGTCAGGGCTCGTTGAGAGTTATATGACCTGTAAAATTGCCACCATGGATGTGTTGTTCGCGGTTTTGTGTCTTTTTTTATATTTCAATGTCGGTACACAATTTTAAGAATATAAAGAAGTCTGATCCGCGATAAAAAGAGGTAATTACCGTCAAAAGAAACGCCGTATTTTATTTTTTCGTCTCAAATCTCTCTTGTGTACATTATACTTTTGTGCGAATTTATTTTTTAATCTTTGTTCCGGAGAAAAACATGTTGTAAAAAGGGAAGTTCTCCTTGCGCCATGTGATGCACGATCGTCTCTCGTATCCCGGGAAGATCGTGTATTATTCACTCAGCGGTTTCTCGCCAATTTATGCTGTAGAAATGTATATTAGTAGAAGAAAATACAGAGAGAGAAATAGAGAGAGAGAGAGAGAGAGAGAGAGAGAGGCAAAGTTTGCTCCAAATTCTTCCAAAATATATTGCCATTTTCCTCGCCAAGCGACTTCTATTTTGAAAGAGTAAAGACGATTGCTATATACATATATAATCCTTTGACTGCTAATGCATTGCGGTAAAAGACTGCAGCTAGTGGAGGAACGCGCCTCGGCCAACTCGTTTAGTAAATCAATGATGCTCCTTTTCGCACTCGTTCTTTTTCAATGTCAAGGTAACGCCACACGCGCCGTATATCCCGCGTGGAATCTTTCGCGGTCCTTTGGCTCAATTTCTCACCTCGTGATTTATGACGAGCCGTATCGAGATATACGCTTCTCGGCGCACTCAAATTCCCGTTTCGCGTTATTCACGTACACACACGTGGTTTTACATCGTCGCACCAAACGTATTGAAACATGTGTTGATTGCAAATTGTTTTTTTGTTCGGTTTTTTTCATTCTGTTAATCGATTTTGTGCGTTTTTCAATATTATATTTTCTCTCTATTTCGAATAATACGCGAATTTCTTTTCAAAGAGAGAAACAATGGGATAAATATATTAATTCCTTTCTCTCTTCTAACATTACAGACGTGCTAATTACATTTGTATTCATATCGGATTTCGCGCGTTCTCGGTTTAATTGATGCTACATACCAAACGTGCTTTTCTATCGTCGAATTTCTGTCGGTTTATGTACATGCGAAGAAGCGATATCGTCCATATAATGTGGATTGAGTTCGCGGGTTGAATAATTTATACGTATAATACAATATCGCTCGTTTGAGCTCGTTTGATATTCCGCGGATTATCTTTCAGCACGATACGGTGTGCTGTTTTAACGACTTCATCCGGTGGACACGCGTGCTACACTTATTCCCCCGAGGGATTAGCGGCTTTCCAGCAGTTCGCGCGACCCTCAGCTCAGCAGCAGCAGCAGCAGCTATACTCAGATCTCGGATGGGCCGCGTAGTTACTTATATACAAGAAGAACCTCCGAGAGAGGCTAATGAGAAGACGTAGAGAGGAAAAATTTCTCCGCCGACACATCAAAGTTTTATCTGCCTTGCGAGTGTAACGAGACATATTATGCAAGACGGATCTCTTACTTGGATTATAGCACTTAACCCCGACTCGACTAAGAAGGTCTCTCGTTAGAACTGCGCTATAAAGCTCACCGGGGCGAGGCATGCATAAGACTGGGCGTGAATTTTTTACCAGGAAGTAAAATAAAATTTTCCCCGCTACTGAGACTTCATTTTTTCATCATTTTTCCCCATTGAAATTGTCGCTGAATTATATATATGATACTATATTTTCGACGAGCTCGGCAAATAAAGATAGAGGAAGAAAAGAAAATTTGCACAACGGCGCACAATTGCGTACGAAGAAAATACAGAAATTGTCCGCTTGAATAAGTGACAGCTAATGTACAAGAAAGAGATATAATCGCGCTATCGATTCAAAGTCCGAACGCGGCTGGTACGGCCTAGAACAGAAATAACTGAAAATACATTCTTATCGCTGCAAGTCGACTGCGATCTACAGAAATATTATGTCCTGAATTACGTTTAAGTTAATAGCCTTTTCTGTGCAATTTAGAGTGTCGTGTACATAGAAGGATAATCTCTTATCAGCTAAGGGTTCGCTGTGTGCGATCGGTGATGTGTGTGCGTGTGTATGTTTATTTTATAAATAGCCGTCGGAGCGACTTGTGATGTATTTTGAAACGCGCCGTCTTCTATTTTTAAATACTGCGATGTTACATTGTACATAAACGACACCGTGGAAAAATTGTATACATATAAAAAAAACCCATCCCTCTAAAGATACAGCGGTTAAAACCGGAGTTGAGAACCGCGGCCTTAAAACAGCACTGCGTTACAGATCGATACCGCAGCCGGCTACCTTTAAACTCTGAAATGTGGACCGAGTGGACGTGAAATTTTAAGTTCTCATTGAACATTTTCTTTCGTCGCATCTGTTTCATCGCTCGTGCGCGAACGAGCGATTGAAAAACAAAGAAATAAAAGTTTTCATTTTTCGAAGTTGCGAGAATTAATCATTGATCGCGCGCGATTACGAGAGAGAGAGAGAGAGAGAGAGAGATAGATAGATAGATAGATAGATAGAAAGACTCACCGTTGTCGTCAATAAGTTTCATTTTGTCGAATTCTCACCGTCGCAAGAACTTTGTGTGAATTTCTCACAGAAGAAAACCCAGGCTTTCTTACGTTCTTCAAGCTTTTGACGTACTATATGTGAGGCGCGTTGCATAATTTAAGCTCGAGTACATTACAAATTGATAGCAGAGGTATCGAAATATATCAGTCTTATTCTAACTTTGTGCCTGTGACCTGGTTTCCGCTGTCAGTATCATTTTCTCGGCGCGTGATCGCTTTCTCGCGTCTACTACGTGTTAGACCCACGTTGACTTATTGACTAAGGTCCGCTCAACGAGGCAAAAGGTCCGTGGGGTCCGGGAAAGTTTAACAGATGAACACGACCCCTTATGCACACGCGAGCTAGTGGCGCGCGCATACACACACATACGCGCGCTATCATGTCGAAGCAGACGCCCCATCGAAGCGCTGGGGTGCTGATCTCAATTTAATTAACGCTGGTTTAAATGCCGTCGAACAATTTAGCATCGCGCACCAGCCTCTTGTACACCTTGTAGCTCGGTGAATACACGCTATCGTATAAGCTCGAGCGAATAATATCTATCGGAAAGTAATAACGTTGATACGACCCGTCGAACATCGTCCTTGCGAAGTTGCAACGATCGTCTCTTCCGCGATTTGCGTCAGATTCCCGTACACATTATATATTCTCTGTGTATTCACACGACCAGCAACATATTATTCGCCTTCCCGTTTGATCTCCGATAACATTTGTTCTTGTCGAGGGATGTACTTTGTATTTTCAAGAATCGCCACTTCGGTGGACAGTGAATAAAGAAGGTAAATTTCTCACGAGATGCGTCAACGTCTCATTTGTTTCGTCACGTGGAGTAGGTACCCTCGCGACGCTTACACACACAATCCGACCTCTCTCCGTCCACCTCTCGCCCCGCGTATTCCACCCACGAAGCATCCCCTTGAGCAGAAGTGGCCTCGTAAAGGATAGGGGACGAAAGAAAGGTGCGCTCTATAATCGCGAACGCGCTCGTATTCGCGCGGGCGTGAGCGCGTACATAACGTGGTTTATCAGAAAATTGCCGGAGAAAGATTTTCTGAGTTTTATCGGAAAACTCGGCGAAGAAATGATGCGTGAGCTCTTCAACTTGAGAACTTCAATTTATCCTTTCTATCAACTATTTGACGTGTAATAATGATTTGCATATTCAGGCATTCCATATCGTTTTCATCATGGACGGAGATTTGTCATCGTATCTTCTTATTGTGCGAATATCTCTCAAGAACAAAATACGGAAAAGAAGATTGACGAGATTGTTAGACGAGCTCTGAGATCAGGGACGAGCGAAATGCGATGTAATATAACGTTCGCGCGCGCGGAAGGAAAGCGGATGGGAACTCACGGAGGTGCAACCCCCGAGATTTTAAGCCGGTGATATTAATATTGGAGAAGCTGGCGGCAGCAGTAGCTCGCTCTGAGAGTTGGCGTGTGTGTTAGGTATTAGACGTCTTCTCGTGAAATTCGCGCGCGATATGTGGACTTGTGAGAGCACCAAGTGCAAGTAGTTCGTTAAAAGCGCACCGTTACAGCTTAATATCGATTAAGGGCCACAAAGGACTTCTGGTTTGCTTCTGGCGCGCGCGCGGCCGTTTACTACCAATACAGAGATTACACGAAGTTTCGGACCCGATGGAACTGAGAAACGCGCACATAGAAAGCGAGCGATGTGTTACGCGAAACACTATTAAATCGCTTCGGTTCTAAAATATTAACCAACTTGGTAATTATAGTCGGGGCAACGACAACTTTCGAGCGAAAATTGAAATCAAGGAAATTAATTGGCGGTGTCAATAATAATTTAATCGGAGATGCAAATCGCTCGTAAAGATGTATTTAAGTGACGTTAACTGACTTATTGAATGATATTCTAAAAAAAGAATTGAGATGCAAATTAAAACAATTCAGTGCGTCATCGCAGAAGCTTTTATCGCTCCCGACCATTTAATTTCTTCGTCGATTTAACCTACACGATTTTGTAACCGAGTATACCACGACTGGTATGAAGCAGATAAAGCATGTACGTCGGCTGCCACCTACCGATAACTCTTGTGTGCCTTCTTCCGTGATGTTGCAAAGCAATCCGCGAGTGGAGAATATTGCTCATGGCGAAAAAGCCGGTTTCGTGAAATCGTAATAATATACGTACTTTTTTATCTGTGGGCGGTATGTTGAGCACATTGAATTTTTATCATTTGAATTTAGTCTATAAATTACTGCCTCTTTCGTATCCGCTTCTTTTCCGGGACCAACTCCCGCTCTACCCTGTGTTATGAGCCGTAGAATATAAAGAATGCGAAAGATATCAAAACTGCCTCTCAGGTCTTGCGAAGATAAACCACATGAACGATATCAAGAACGCCTCTTTTTATATTCTATCTCTACTATTATTTCGATAACGCCGAAAAATTGAATCACCGCCGTTCAAACGGTGCCGGCGGCGGTTGGAAGTTGAAAGAAAAAGAGCGATACTTGCTTCGCTACGATGTCCTCGGAGATTGTAATTTGCTCGAAGCGGAAGTTCCGTGGCTCTGGTGCGACAATGCGATGAGGTAAAAGTCACTCCCACCAGGCCGCGGGCGTTGCCAGTGGCTAACCATCCTTCCTGGTAGTAATTTGCACGGTCGAGCTTCCATCCTTCGTCCTGTAAATAAAAGGAAAATGCCAGTTACACACATACCTTTTCACGAGTACCTATGAGCGCGAAATGTCATGCCGATGATTAATAGCGTGCCGGATTTAACGCGCCGATAGGGAGAAGGGATTTTTTATTCCTATGGGAAACAACGTCACTCACCGCGATAAATATCGCGTTATTTTGAAATTTTCTGTGCGGCGTGATTGGGACGGCTGTGAAAAGAGCCGTCATGTGGAGTTTGCGACCTACATACTTAAGTCGAGACGCGACTTCGAATAAAACCAAAGGCACATGATTCTGCACTTCGGTGCGTCAAATCTTCAAGATGCTGTTTCTTTTTGTTTACGGTTTTAATTTGCTTACTCAAAGTAAAACTCGATCGAGTTCGGAGACTTGATTGATTTGATCCACGTTCGACTAAGTCTAGAAGTACGGATACGGAATTAACAACCGCAAATAATTAATCGAGGCACAAATGGTCTTAAGACCGATTTCTCTTTGACATCAGATAGCGCAAGATCGTTTGACTCAGTTTGAAGATGCTATTAAACAATTCTATGTTACTATTCGTCGTCACGTAACGTCGTCTCCACTTAAACATGTCAGCATCAGGTGACAAGGGCTTCGATGTTGAAAGGGTTTCACCTTCGAACCGGTTGCGCACATATATCGTGCATAAGCATAATTACTTAAGGCAGCTTAAACCCTTAGAAAAGATGATATCGAAATACCCGCACATATAATTATGAAACTACCTATTACTTAATCAATCTATTATACTTAATGTAATCAAACTCGTTTCGAGTATAGAAATTGTTTTTGAGAAAAACTTACGCAACGCACAAAAAGAATTATATACGCGGTTTTTATTCTAACGCCTGGTTTTGGCACACGAAACAATCGCAGGTACAGGAAATATTCGATTTGGACAGTAATTTGCGTCCCCCTTCTTGGCATTCTTCCCATCGATAGGCTGACATCAACCCCTCCAATTTGCTGCAATATCGAATAGCTATTTTGCAAAGGTACATCCGGACTGCGTCCGTTAATTAGTAGCGCGCCTTTGATCGGAAAAGAACGAAAGAGAGGAAGACTTTCTATTCCTCGCTAATATCAGAAAAAAAGAAAGATAAAAGGAACGGTTTGTAAAGGTCATTTCTTCAATGTATTTCTGAACTCTTTGTGCTTATGCAAAATCTTTTCATTATGTTTTATCCAGCGGATACCAGCGCATTTTTCTCATTCGCCTGATGAAGCTTTTCGGAACATTGAAATATCACGCGCGAGTTAATTCTGCAAACACGAAACTCTATACCATAGGATTTCATTAAAATTTTAAATTGGATTATGGTGCAGTTGTGAGTAGTTCGTGCATGCGCTCGTGCTTCCGTGGCGTAGACAAGGTTTCGTAGAGACAAGTTTTGCGTGTTCGTATTTTGTATAGCACATTTACGTATATGATATATATATATATATATATATATATTCATCGGATGATATATAATTACGAATACGATTTACTGCTTCGCGAGATAGTCGTAACGAGATGAGGCAGATTGCCGGAACCGCACAACTGGAAGAAGCCACAACGAGCAAAGCCAGCAATACCGCAAAGCGAATTAATTCGATGGCTTGTATGATAGCTGACTGCTCCACGACCTATTCGATAACGTCGGAAGCAAAAAACCGGATAAAGACGCCACAATCCCAAAACACTTTGTCCGAATTCTTCTCAATTGTCCTAAAGATCTCCCATGCCTCCCTCGTAAATATCGTCATAAAAAATTCATGTTCCGACGTCGACAAGTACGTCACTCCAGACTGTCATTTTTTTCGCAGAAGCGGAGGATCTAGAATTTCTGTCGTCGCGTCGACAGATGAGAGAAATATTTCGCACGCTGTGATCAATGATCACGTGGGCGGACTCATTTTTTTGCAACTCACAAAAGCAACATAACAAGGACGAAAGAAGAACGAAAGCCGAGAAGAGAAATCAACAGTAATCCAATTTTTGCAAACACATTGAGAACAATCCGTGAAAAATAGAAAGAGCTCGGTGAAAATCGATGTTGCGCGAAGACGCGGAACGATTAGCAGCGGGATTTTTTTGTGCCGCGCTTACAACATACGGTAGTATTACCGGGAAAGAGTATAGTAGTGACGCTCGCTTTTCTCTCGAAACGCTTCGATACAATTTACCGGCGAACAATGGCCGTACCAGCGGCGGCGGCAGCAGCGGCGTAACGGCTCTCAATAATGACGTTATCGATTCGAGCGTGATTCACAATGCGAGAGTATAATGGAAACGTACGGCGGTGGATTATCTGCCGGTCTCGCGCATGCAACAAACCCGCGTGAAATCTGCATCTCAATTTTCTCACGGATTGCAGATTATACGAAGCGCGCGCGGGGGGTGGTGGCGCATGTCCCCCGACGCCGCGCCGAGAGAGAAGCGATATTATCTTGCTGAATTTATCTGACTGCAGAATTTTTCCGACATCCGCGCGCAAGAAGGAGGCATCCGGAAAATCCCACTTGATCGCGGCGCGCGTTGAAAATGCTCGCGTGCGTTGCACGTTTGTCCTCTCTAATGGATCGACATTTATCTCCAACGGTCTCTCACGGAGGAGACATGTAAAATTTATACTCCGTGCGCCTCGGTATAAATGGCTTTTTTAAACCTTTTCTTCCAGACGGAAGTTACGTATCTGCACGCACTCGAGGGGCGAGTAATACACTCATTGCTGTCGGATATGACGGTAGTTAACAAACGGAGAGGAAAAAAAATAATAGCATCGCGCACCGATCGAGTTTTCCCGGGAGGGATGAATTGACTTAATCGATTTCACTCCGTTTATAACCATAAGTCAATTATTTTTCCAGTAATTGAGTCCGTCCTACTTTCACACACTTTTCATCGTCATCTCTCTTTCTGCGTCGAATGCGTCGAGAGCTGGCTTCCGCTGAAATCGCAAATCGTGCAGATTGATCTCTAGCAGCGAATTACACGCGCGCTCGTCGATCAAGAAGCACGGCGGTTCTAATTAATTCTGATCGATTACGTCCTGTCTCGCGCGTCCGAATTCGGCAATCGGATTAATCTTCGTCGCTCGTGTATGCGCACACCGTGTTGTGCAAGCTGGAAAAGTTCATGAGGCAATCAGTCGAGAGAGAGAGAGAGAGAGAGAGGGGAGCAAAGTAACGCGTTTTGGAAAAATTTCTTCGCGCAAACTTTTTGAAAATTATCAAGAAAAAGACTGCCAGACGCAGTTTCGAGAAATCACGTGTAGGATTTTCCTCCCGAATCAACGAGGCGTTAATCTATCGCGTCTCGGTGCATGCAAAAAACTTCCGGAGAAGTAACATTCGCGCTTTTAAAAGAGGACATATCTCTTGGTACCAGTTCATGCTTCTCGCAAGTGGTGCGGAACAAAACCCGTCACAGGAAACTTGGGCACTCATTATTTTGGGCTCGTGAAAAAGATCCACTCGAGACGCCGAGCGTGATCTTCATCTTTGCTAGCCCCTAGGAGTAGTATGTCGGCGACGCTTCCCTCCTGCGAGAGAAGCTCTTGTCACCCTCATAAAGCCTCCCGACGCTCTCTTGCAACTTAGATGCCTTATTCTTATGGATTCCTCCACTGCGATTGTTTTGACGCAGTCTCGCGTTCCTCTCTCCATGGTCTTATTAACTTCCCACTGTGCGAAGATCTCACCAACGAGAGTCACGCGGAGAGAGAAAGAGAAAGAGAGACATACAGAAAATTAGAGAATCTTTGCTACGAATTATATTCGCGTATATTAAAAACTCATATAAAAACTCTCACCATTCAGTCTAAAATATTCTACCACTTTCTACTATGCTACGGAAAAGACTGAAAGTCTTTGCAAAGAAGTTATAAACCAAGAGTCATAAGAAAAAAGAAGTAACGTACGCATCTGTTAGGATTTGTAATTTTGTAATCGGAGCATCGCGACGTTTTGATGAGCACGGCGCATTACACGAGTAATATTATCGTCATATTGTCAATCGTATCGTCGCATGGTCGTTTCCGAACGTCATTCGAAACGTCAAATTACGAATTATTTCAGCCTCAGATAGTCGCCCGACTCAAGTGTTTCTCTCACACGAAAGACGAGACAAATTAAATTTCATTCGTCACCGGCGAGCTTGTTCGCCTTCGTTCAAGTAAAAGTTTTTTATCTGCTGTCATACATCGCGTAGTACGACAGCGGCCGGGTATACGTGTCAAAGTATATGGAAGTTGAGTTTTTATTCATGCCTTGGTTTTAATACATAGCGCCGGCTGTTTCCCGTTAATTTAACGTTCGCAGTGTCGTCCGCGGTGTGTGGTTCTATTTGTTTTCTATTTTTCCTTCAACAAGCTTGGAAATGTAGAAACGTCTTTGCTTCCGCGGCGAAACGTGTCGTGAAATAGAAATGATCTGGATCAAATATATGGAGCATCGATTTTCGATTACAAATTCCGTCAGACGTATATTTAGAAGGAATACTCTATTTTCTTAAACCCCAGAATTTCTCCGATGATGTCAGCGTCAGTTAAATTGCAAGGAAATAACAATATCGACTAGTCCAAAAGAAAGATTTTTCCGCAGAGTGAACTGAAGCTTAAATTGATTAAAAATAGCTAATTGTTTACTTTCTCAATGTTGATGAGATAATGTAATGAATATTAAAATCGCTGGCACAAAAATTGTTTAGATGTGTATGTGTAGCATCGTCATCAGTGGATTAATTTTCTTAATAGTCGCGCTTTATTAACAATTGTGGGAAACGACTCGTTTTACTTGATGACTGCGGAATGTCACATGAGATACGGTAAAACATATTTTTAGTTCTTGTGTAATTGTTCAATTACACTTGAAAGCGTTGAATCTAGATTAGATCTATTTGAAACTAGAATCTATCGTAATTTCCGATAGAAATTAGTCTCTTCTTTGTAGATACTTAATTCAATCTCATTGCAATTCTTTTTATAATATGTCGTACATTAATTAATAAAACAAAGTTAACACAATTATTTATTATATGCATGCAGATAATATTCTTTTTTATACGTAATGTACACACACACATTAGGTAATTTCAAATAACGTACCTCAGGCGACTCGTCCGGCACTTTGCCCATCCAACTGAGCGATAAGATATTGCAATCGCACTTGGCGTTGTTGTTTTTTTCAAAATGCAGATGCATGGTTGCGATCGCTCTCCCATCGGCAGATTTATCAATCTATCGAATTGGCGCCGTTTTTAGCAGCCCCGTCACCGCGCTTTGCAGCCGAATTCCATGTCGTTCCTTCCGCGAGCATTCTCGCGCCGAAGTGCGCTCTCTTCTCTCCTCGATGCACCAGCGGATCCGTGATCGATAATCGAATCACGGTTCACACGTCAGCGCGTCCGCACGCGACCAGCGTCTCGCAATGACGAAACTCTCTCATTTGACCCGCAGCACCATCGTGGTTTTTAAATCTCGAGACGATCTCCTCACTTCTATATAAAGAATTTATGTTCCACGAAGAGACCGAAAGCGCGCTCGCGAGAGATTACTCTTCCCCTCGTCGTTTCTCGCCGGGACTTATCACGGCCCCGGTCATGCGGATACACCGTGCGAAATTCGCGCACCACCTGCGCGAGAAAAAAAACCGTCGATACTATACCACCCCTGTGTCGCGATTCACCACCCTCGCGATCATTTGTTTCTTATCGCGGCCGCCATTTTGCCGCCCGAGACGCTACTCCACCTTGTCAGGGTGCAATCCCCGTTCCGCGCCACGCCGCGCCGCGCCGAGGGTTGCGCGCTTTTACGTGAGCAAGAGTGGAGACGACGTGAGCCTCGCGGTACCGCGTGCGGAACCGACCCCAAACACACGAGCTTTTCCGACGCGAGCGTGCGTCCGACTGAAAGCTCGGCTGCATGGAGTGGAGGCAAAGCGCGCGGACCTACGTCGCCGCCGCACACTCACTTCCGTCCGTCGCGTACACGCGACGAGGGTATTGATTGGAGTCAGCCGTTCCGTTCCGTGTAGCTCGCGACCACCTCGTGCTTGCCCGGCGCTATACTGAATTCGCCGCGAGCTTTTCCGCGTCGCGCCTCACCGTGGAAACGGCGGAGCCGCCCCGTGTGCTGCGGAGGAGACGCTCCCGAGTCCTAATGAATATTATTTAAATGAGATAATTCGAAATTGCTATTTTCACGTATCTGATCCGACTTATATTTATTTTACCTCTGTTACAATAGCTTTTTGCGTGTCGTTATTAAGTAGAAGTTTTAGATAAGCTAGAAATATGAAAAATGTAAAATTGGAATTTTGACTCGTACAACAATTGTTAATTTGTTATAATGTTATATATAAATAAAAATAAATTAATTAGGCTCTTAGATATACAATCAAATAAATAAATATATAACAATCAAGTGACAGACATAGAAAAGTAACTAGTCGAGTAACTTGGCAAATAAGAGTCACAATCGTGAATAACTCTTAATTGCTGTTTTATCTTCATTTTACTCGATTTATTTTTAATTTTATTCGATTACACAGGTATATACACTGCATACTACTCACAAATGAGTATTTGTGTTGTTTTCTTTATATTATAACAAAGCGATAATTTTGTCTCGTATAACATCCACACGGACTTGTTGTGTTTTTGCTTGATTCGCGAGAGGGTAAAGTTTACGCCACTTTGCATCGAGTGGATGAACGACGCTCTCATTAGCAGCAGCATGTGCTGTCTGCTGCTATCATGTAATCGAGTTTTTTTTCTTTTGCGCCGCTGATGCATAAACTCCGCGTTACTAAGGAATATAATAATACTAACGCACTTATGCAATAAATTACGTTCTGTAGTAAACTTACGTAATAACTTACGTAATAAGTTAAGGTATTAAGATATTTTTATATAAAAACCTACACTCTACAGCTTTCAAACGCGAAAATCGATGGGTTTTAGGTGGAATATCGAAAAAAATTGATGATTACTTCTAGAGCTCGTCAAGACGCGTCGAATTATGTGGTCGTTTTTTCGATTTTGCTATGAGAGCACCGAAACACTTTCAAATGCGAAAATCGAAGTCGAATTGAAATGCATGCTGTGAACATAGCACGGAATAGAACCATGTCCACATTTGGACATAGCGTACGCACCGACTAGTCGCTCGTGATCATGGATACTTAGTTGCCAATGTGCATCACCTGTGAACATAGCGCTGGCTTACAGGGTGTATAAGCTATTACAGCGTTTCATATAGCCGTAGTCGCTCTTAGGCTTCTCTCTACTTTGTGTACGTCGGTATTGGTTGAATACTTAGGTCGCGCATGTGCAGTGTATTTCTGAACATTTGGTTTGGTGCATATATGGCTCAAAGGACCGTTTCAAGATAGTCCATACGCCATTCTAAGTCTATAGGAATCGTAACACAAGTCCTAAACCGTGGTTTGGGTACAAGCCACGGAGTTGTATGTTCGTTAAAACACTGATAAACTGAAGAAGTCGGTGTAAAAACACCGTAAATTGTCCAAAAATATCTAAGCGTAACTACGCACATTCAACCCACGGCCATCCAAGGGCCGTCGTAAACAAAATTGCAACAAGCTATGTGACTACTCAACACAAAGACACGTGTTGCCTAGACGTTTCTGAACATTTAACATCAAAGGTGCCAACCATAGACATAGATGTCTACGATGTCAACAGAGAGTTGTGTCGTTCCAACCGGCTGATAATGACAACTTGACTGTCAACGTGCTGACCGTGCCGAATCAGCAGAAACAAAGAGAACATTAAGAGATTATTGAAAAGCGGAGGTGATGGAATAACAAAACATGCAGCTATTGTTATAGTGGCAGAAAGTAACGTTGAAAATAGTTGTAATTAGTACAACTCGATCGCTAGTCGTTGTTTAAGAACAGGTGTCGAGCGAACAAGGCCAGCGTTGCCGAGAAAAATGTTAATAATAATTCTTTTGTGACAAAATCACTTTGTGAAATATTCTCTGTTACCAATGTTGTTTGCAACACGTTTAGTTTTATCGCGCCGCTTGAATTTAACCTATGATCGCCGCGGCCTATTGGCGACATACGCTCGAGAGCGTTCCGAGGACTCGGTTACCTCGAGTCTTTATCATTTGCGATAACGAGCTTTTTCAACCGGACGCATGACCTGATTGTCGTCTATATTCATTCCATTACATTAAACTAATTGTAAAAATCTGCCGACTTCGCAAAAGCAGTAAGTGCAGTATTCATTGCAATATTTTTATTTCTGTTTCTTTTTTGTTCAAACCATTTATGAAGCATATGCAGGATACAATTAATCTTTTATCAATAATCATTTTTTTTTGTAGATAGAATGCAAAAAGAATTGTTGGATTGAATATTTCTATAAATCTTTTCCAGAAGGTTATGTAAAAAGTCATTACTAATTCAAGGAGAGCAAAAACAATGATAATACTGTTTGTCTGTTGATAGTTTTTTTTTAATCATCAGCAAGTAGGTGAATATATGTTTCCTGTATAAGTTTTTTTATATCTTTAAGTAACAATTATATTAACAGTTGATTATGACTATGTATACACATACGTGAGATGTTTACATGTAACTCTACTTTTTTAGACATTGTTACAATGGATATTGGCGTTGTCAAAATTGCAGAAGATAAGGACTTTGAAAAACTAAAGCAGTTGTACGATGATAACAATAATTGGAGATTAGATTACAATAAGCCTGATCTATCTGTTTGGACAAAATCCGTCCCAGGAATCAGTTTCAGAATGGTGAAAGTAAGTTGTTTTGGCTAAGAGATTTTACTCTTTTTCCATTTGTTAAAACAAATGGAATGTTTCAGATTAGAACACGTTTTCCTGATATTTCACCAGAAACATTATACGATGTTTTGCATGATCCTGAGTACAGAAAAGTCTGGGATACTCATATGATTGAATCAAAAGATATAGGATTTTTTAATCCCAACAATGATATTGGTTATTACTCCAGTTAGTGTTATATGCATCTATACATCTTTTTGATACCTCTTTTTCTTGTTGAAAATCTTGTTTTATTGAGAAATGTAACTTGTTTTTAGTGGCATGCCCATCTCCATTAAAAAACAGAGACTTCGTTCTGCAACGATCTTGGTTAGATACTGGTATAGAACAGTTAATATTAAATCACTCTGTTTATCACAAAGATTATCCGCCTAAAAAACAGTTTGTACGAGCAACGTCTTATCTCACGGGTAAACTATTAAAAGCAAACCAAACATTTTGTACATCTAAGTATTTTGCTTATCTAAGCATGATTTTACATTTTTTTTTTTAAGGCTATATTGTAAGACCTTCACGCAATGGAGATGGTTCCGAGCTGGGTTATGTGTCACACACGGATCCACACGGCAAACTACCTGTATGGCTAGTGAATAGAGTTACACAAATATTCGCTCCTAAAGTGAGATATTTCCTGAAAAAGATTCTAGCAGAATTACGTTATAACTACTGCATAAAACTGTATATTTTTTGCAGATGGTAAAAAGACTGCATAAGGCCTCCATAGGCTATCCAAGTTGGAAATTAGTTAATAATCCAAATTTCAGACCTTGGCATTATCCTGAACAAATAATGGCTCCTAGAATACGTATTGAAGACGTAAGGCTGGCTTTCTATTTCATAATTTTTCTACTTTGCAAAAGTAATATGTAATCAGATTATGTTTTGTGTGTGTGTATGTCTGTAAGACTATATATACGTACGTATATATAAACATATATATATATATATATGTTTATTTATTCTATATATATATGTTTATTTATTCTACATTGAAGATGCGATATTGCATACGCTTTAATGCGCTTTAAGCTTATAAGTACAGCTTATCTTTCGCCTGTGATTTTTTGATTTTGTGATAGTTTTATACAAAAGATTGTATCTTATTATGGTTTACTGTATGTTGTATCTTATTATATGTTTTATATATATTTTATTTTTACTCTGTTTATTAAATCTTTGAATTTGCACATATACACGACAGAAGATCTACATTTTTCTCTTATGACTAAAAGTTTAAGTTTTATTTATTTCAGTATATAATTGTCCGATGTGTGAATATTTATAACTATTTTATTTCTATGATATATATATATAATCAATAAATCTATCTAGAAAAGTTTTTAAAAAATATGGTTTTATATTATATATAAGCGCTTTTGATTCTTCGTTTCAGTGCGTAAAATCTGCAGAAGAGAAGAATTCAAAAAGTAGTTTTGTAGATGAATCTGATCTAAATGAAAGTTCGGCCGCAATGGACAGCGATTAATTTTTAATAAAGATGTATAATATATATATATATATATATAAGAATATTTTATAGGTGAGTTACAAAGCATAGAACGGCGTAGTCAAAAGTTATAACTGCAGTATTATATATACAAAAAAATGTAATGGACAATTTGTATACACACTTATAAAGTTCGCGTATTTCTTATATGATATAAATTCTAAACTTATAATGTTACACAATTATACACATATTGTTAAAAGTCACACATACAGTCATGTTCATTATATAAAAAATTGCCTCGCATGCATAGACGTGAATTTATAAGTAAATGTCAATAATAAAACTATGGTGGCCTGCTTTATATTAAATACTAATTTTAAATCAGATTTATTGTTAATGTTGGTGGTGTACGCAAAATATAATAAGAAAAATTGCACAATATATGAAAGATATACTTAAAAGTTTTTATAATTTATAAAAATTCAGAGGAAGAGCACATGCACTTGTCTACTTACTTGTTAGGTCTATTTTCTACATATTGTGTGCACAATGCACACAATTGTTCTTACACTAAATCTTTTAATCTCTATACTACACACATGTATTGTACGCGTGCAATGTTTTGCAGAATCGAAAATATATAGGTAGCATATTCAGATAGTAGGTTTGTTAAATACATGAAACAAACAATACTAATGACATAAAAATTTTTTACATGCTCTCTGAAATTTAAAATTTATCAACATTTAGTTGTACTTCTCAGTTAAATCAGCGTATTTTTACAAGAATTTTTGCGCTGAAGTTCGCGCCATTGTAAAATCAAAATATCTAGATAATTTAAATATATCTAGATGTAGTTCCTGTAATCTAGATTACTCTCTGTAATCAAATGTTTGACTAACAAAAATTCTTTCAAATTTACGCTCATAAATGCTTATTTAGGAAAATTTTTACTATACAAAGTTTTACTATACAAATTTTTACTATAAAAAATTGCATATTTAAGATATATTCTTACATACTTATGCTTGTTTAATTGCGAACTTTGTGATTAAATTGCCTAGATTGTTTAGAAATTTCTCAAAACTATAAAACTTTTATTTTGAATTTCTTTGCGTGCGAAAAATGTAACGCAATAAATACGTAAATTAATTACTTTGTAAAATTCACAATAAAAAGTTTACAACTGGTTATTACTGACTTAATTATTACAAAGTAGTTTAAAATACTCACAGTACTTTGAATATAATCATAGACTGATCAAATGCTTTCTAGTTGGTATGTTATATTTTCATGTTGTAAAGCCGAGAGCACACGAAAAAATTTAAGTAGTAAGACTCAAGCATTGAACAAATTAACCAATCATAGATCGGTATTCCCTTGAACACAGCTTATAGAAAGTAACTTAAGAGAATCCCAAACTGTGATTGGTCTGGTTGATGTGCTTAATGTTTAAGCTTAAGGATGCAATCACATGCACCCGAAAAAATAAAGTTTGCAGTTTATATTTTATATATAATTTTATTTTATTATATTACACACACAAATCAATTAGTTAGTATTGTGTATGTGTGTGTACATATTGTGCAATAGTATTCTCTCTTCCTCTCTCTCCATAAATAAATTCTAATACACAATACTTTTATACATAGATAATAGATACAATATTTTTCTATCATACACACTTCATCACTTCCCAGTTTTACAATTCAATAAACAAAAAAATGACATTATTATATAATGCAAAAGCAAAAAAAATTTAAAAAAAACAAATTTTCTTTCAATTTACTGAACGTAATTGTTGAAATTAGACGCACTCGATTCTACAGCCAGGGATGCCACGAAGGATCCATTCTGCAAAGATTGTCATGACTATTGGCAGCAGCGACTAAGGTGCTGACTTTGCTGTCGATGCCATCAAAATTCGCCAAAGAGTTTAGTCTTGTGATAATCGCATTTACTGCACGAGTCACCATCGTTATTAAAAGTTCACCCTTCAGTTCATTCGGTGTTTGCGACGTTCCCTCGGCGTCTTCCTGCCTTTTGTGATCCGCGTTTGTGATCACTTCATCTCGTAGAACTGCGCGGAGTATTGCGTGTAGCTGAAACGAAGGTGTAACCAGACAACGCGCTGTAGCAATCACGCTGGCAGTCAACGGTCCGTAAACTCCTGCAAAACAAATTAAAAACGTAAAGAATATTTTATATGTACTGAAAATGTACTCGAGTACATAACATGAAAAGATGAAGACTTGTATTTAGAGGTACATATTCACTAACCTATAGTTGTAACAAATTCGAGAATATTAGGTGTCAAACGGAAAGGAACCGGTCTGTTTGCGTCCAATTCTCCAGAAGTGTCATCAATGTCAAATTTGAAATACGCAATGTTGATCAAACCGGAGTCTTGATGCACGTACATCATGTCAGGATTGAGTCGGGTCAGATGAAGTGCGTACTCGGCAAAACAACTTAGCGCCAGTTGTAACGTAAACTAAACATAAGAAAAATAGTCATGATAATTTATTATTATATTCATAGTACAATATCAATTAAAAATTGTAGTTCTTACAACAAAATTGTAACTTCTATGCTATAAATTAACGGTGTTCTTAAGGTACTCACTATTTTTCTGAATGTCCAATAATCTGTGGCACCAGGGAATGTCTTTATTGCCCAATCCTTGAGCATAGTTTTCGCTACCATTGTAGTTTGTACTTCTTTTAGAATATCCCGTAGCACTTGGTGACTGGCTTGTGCACCTCGTGCCTGTACGGCAGCCAATTTTTCATAATACCGCGTGATAGGTGCGTCGTGTTCCATTGCTAACTTTGCGCAACCCTTCTTGTAAATTTCCAAAAGAGAAATTGCCGCCGGATTGTCCTCCACCAGTCGTGTTTGGGGCGCAACAGCAATTAATCGTGGCACGGTAAAGTGCAAGAACCGACGTGATGTTTCCTTTTTCTTTGTCAAATAATGATTTAACATTCGTAGAACTTGTAACAACCGTTCCTCACGTCTAGCATCTCCTAATCCGGCATCATTTACTACAAGATAAGGATATAAACGTCCGTTATGACCACGAATACGTAATCGTCTTGCGGATGTGTTGTGTAGTTGGACAACTTCAACACGAGGCATAAATCTAGCTATTTTCACGGAATAATGTGAATGCTGAAAAAAAAATTTCAGAAGACATTAATGAAATATAAAAATTAATAAATATTTTTATCGATACATACTGAAATAAAAATATTGAAAGAGAATAATATATCAAATACAAATATTAGCATATCTTACTCTAGGTATTAGGAATTCACCGGGCAGCTCGATTTCCGCAGTTTTTAGACTGAAATTGCTCAAGAAACGACATTTTTCTTCAATTAAGAACGATCTGTGAAATAATGGACGAATTAGTCTACAAGTTAGTTTTTAATAGAATTGTATCACAAGACAATAAAAAACAAATATTACTTTGGTAATTCCTTAATCTTTTCTTCTAGAATCTTTATCCACTTCTTTAACTTGTTGATCAAGTTGTGCAACAGCCTAGCTCCTGGCACAGTAAAGTCGAAGTCACTTGCAAACTGTCCCTTTACTTTAAGAAAAACAGGATCCTGCGCAATGGCTTGCGCTCTTCGTGCCAAGGATTCAGATGCTGCCGAGCCAAATGAAGTGCTCATATTTTGCGACGAAAATATGTTTTCTGCAATTTGCAAAATGCATCTTAAAGAATTGTTCTTTTTTTTTTTCATAATTTTGTACTCTCCATTATTAATAAGAGAATTAAACACAAATTATCTATTCCAATACCAAAAAAAGTAGAGACGAGTTTTTTCACAAAATTTAATGTGTGCGGAGTTATTGTAGCTTCACTGACGGAACATCGATTCTCAAATGCCAATGCGTAACATTTCGTGAGTCCTTGTCTCAGTTGTCTTAAGACTTCTTCAAACCAGGATTCACGGAACCAAACCATCTAAAATACAAATTTATATTATTCTTGCATATTATACTTTGTTGCGCAATGTTGTAAAGAACCAAAACAAAAGTACTCGATCGTACTAACTTGATCGACTATTCCTTCCAAACTCGATAAAATAGTAGGATGAATGTCTCTTTGCATATGCATTATTTTCGAACATCTCCACATAGGCGCAGGAGCTCTATGTAAAGTAGGTCCACCAGTTTCACTATTTGTAGCACCTGAGGGCTCTATGTTTTCTTGCGGTTTACCAACAGCTACTTCAGCACTCTCATTGAAAGAAAATCTCTCTTCTATCTTCAACGTCAAATATAGAGTGCGAATAGAAAAATATACAGCTTGCGGGAAAGTGCGACCGACTTGACTCAGCAAGTTTAAAATTGTCAAACCATCATGACGTACTAGATACATTAGTAATTGCGGTACCCAAGGCAACCACTGAATCGGCGGTATACCCACCGCGAACTTATCGAGAGTCTTCATCAGTGACCCTTTGTCGTCATCATACGTAAGCAACCAAAGAATTTTGGCTATATATTTTCTGGTCTTTGATTCGTCTTGATGACGACAAGCATGTAAATAGCATACCAGGGCGTTTATGCCATAGCTGATTTGACGTGCATCACGTATAAAAATATTTTCCAAGTAATCGCCCCAGTAAGCCCATGCTCTCAGCGTGTCGTGAATCTGAGTCGCGGTAGAGAAACTCTTATTGGCATCGTCCGAACGACCTAGTAGAGATTGAACTAAGCCTTTCCAAGCGTAAAATTCTCCAATCATTGGAGACGTGAAGTAACTCGTGTTTGTTGTTTCAAGCATCTCAAGACCTTCCTGTAACTCACTTTGTCCACCACCCATCGCGGCTAACTGCAAGTAACACTTTATTTGTTGTCGCATGTTTTGGAAGCAATCTGATGTTGGTAGATTTGGTATCGAGTAGATCTTAGAGAGAGAATCTAAGCATACACCAATCAGATTATGCTTTCTAGCGATCTTGCCGAAGTGAATATTGGATTGCATCGATGCGTGCACACCGAGCAACGCTTGATTGGACGATTGATCCTGCTGAGCATTAAAATGATTGGTAATAAAACTGTAATGATGTTGTCGCCAGGTAAAGATATCCGACCAGTGACTCAAATCATCCGCAATTACAGGTAAGCGATTACGCCAGGTCTTTACAATTGCTTTCATATCATGTAGAGATGTGCTTCTACCGTGCAGCAAGCCTTGATGAATCTGCATTGCTTCCTGAAGTTCCATTATCTGTTGAGCTGCTTGCAGCAACGGTAGATGAACATGACTAACAATGTATGGGAGTCGTCGCCATTCGCGCATACAATGATTAGATGCATATTCGACATAGCGTTCTACTGCACTTAAATGTTGATCCTCACTGTTGCACAAAGCCAAGAATCCGCGATACAAATTGATCTACACACACACACACACACAGAATAATACAAGAATTATTAATTAATAGAATGTATTTCTTGTAAAATGTTAAAATATATAATTTCTAAATAAAAAAAGACAAAAGCAATCAATATTATTAAAAGTAAAAAAATAACAAAAGAAACAAAAATTTTATTATTTACCTTCCAAGTCATTTCCTTTGGACAATTGTGTTCCACCTGAGTGAGAATGTCTTTCATCAACGGCCAATTAGGAACACGCCATGCGCTTTCTAAGACGAGGAAAGGATCATAGTATTTCTTATTAGTCCCCAATTCCAATACAATCTCCCACTGATTCAGTTCCTTCGTGGTACGTTCTCGATGACGTTCCCAAAGAAGACACTCCGTACTCATTTCGTAAGGCGCTGGGTTTGTCAAGAAATCCTGTTTGAACTTAGTCATGCACACATCGTACGCACCTTGGGCTTGTTCGAAGAATCCTTGCTGCTCCAACGCGATTGCGTGTAAAGTCTCTTTATAATAAGCGGGTCTTTTTTGCCACAGACCCGACCACATATCTTCCTCGTAGAGCATCGAGTACATTTCCGACAGCATGTCCATTACCTCGCAGGAGCGGCTAGAACCTTCGACATCTTCATCGTCGAACCACTCGAGTCTACTTTTCGCGGCAGAATTTGTATCGCTCTCAAATGCCATCTGCTCTAAAAGTAACGTTATTCGGTGCCATACATTATGCGACTTGCCCAGATACTTCAACACGGGTGGCGCTATAGCCACCGGTGGATCGCAATGAGCTAGTGCCTCCAAGAAAGTACCGAGTGCGCTCGGATGACAGTCTTTTTGATTAATGTGCACACCACTGGCAACAAATGGTGGCACTTCCTGCATGAGAAATCTAAGATCAGATTCGTCCAGAATACTCCACATACGCGGGAACATATCTAGCCAAACGCGTTCCGCCAGCTTCGTATCCAGGTGACATAACTGAGCAGTTGCGAGCAGCAACTGTTCCGTTTTCACCTTCTTCGCGTCTTCTATGAAACGTCCTTGTTTCTTAATTATTTGCATCAGACTTGGGTTTGCAGTGATTTCCTCAGTACCAGTGGTAGTGACATTTACATTTGTACAGTCTGCTAGGTTGGACATCCAAGCCTCTACATCGATCAATTCCTTCGTATTATCTTCAATTATTTCAATTATTTCGTAGTCCTGTTCCTCATTAGATGAACTAAGTTGACACATAAAGAGCATTTGTTCCTTATGGTCTTTTACCATACCGCCGTTTATAATCGACGTGAGGCTAGGTAACAATATATCCTGATTAGTTATTCGTATCTGAGTGGCCGGATTGGCAGTAGCTAACAATAACTCGATACACTGCTTGATCCAGTAATAGGGTCCTATATTATCCCAGTTCTGACTGCAGAGAATGTACAGAATGCGATCTTGCAAACGTCTTCTTATCGATTCATCAAACACTTCAAAAAACTTTGCCCTTACTTGCGGCTGAACGCAACGTAATCCAGCCAAAAATGCTGATTCCAACTTGTTAGATAATTCAGACAATTTTAGACTTTCGTCGCGATAAACGTAGTTGACAAGTTCCAAAAATTGCTTGTTTAATTCGTGATCGTCTGGGAAGCGTTTCTCGACAAATGCTGCCATTCGACTTAGCAAAATAGATTTCTCGCGTAAACTGGGTGCTTGATTGATCGCAATCGTAGATTTATTCTTCATCCATTCCTCCAGTATTCTCGTAATAGCTTTCATTACTTTGGCATCTTGTGTCTTTTCAATTAAACTAATTAGAATCGTGCCTATAAATGATTTGCGCATATCTACGCCCATTACTGCCACACGATTCTTCACCAGATCTAAGCTGGTAACGAGCATGTCGCTTGTCACGGCATTAGATTCAGTTTGTCCACAGTGAAGATGTTCCTTGGTCATTCTGTGCAATACTCTCATAAATGGAGTTATCAATCTGTCTATGTAATTTGGATTGTTTGTGCAGGCCGCTTTTAATGTCATTAACGTGCCGAACAGCGAACTAGGTGTGGCTGTAGTAGTCTTTTCATATGTGGTCAATCCATCAGCTATAAATCTGTTTATAGTCAAATACAATGTTTCAAGTTCTTCAGGTTTAGAAGTCGCATTTGATGGTGTTGGTTCAGATGGAAAGATAGTCATCAATCTTGAAAGCAAAGCATGCACTAGTCGTATTACTCTTGTATTGGTGCTGGCAATACAGGCACCTATTCCACATTGCAATGATTTGAAGCTGACAAGTATTTGATCGCGTTTCATGACACTTAATAAAAATGTTAGTATTTCTAACACTGTACAGATATTACCGTAATTTGGTTGATCGCTATCCACGCTAGCAAGAACTTTATCGAGCCAGGCTAATTTGAGATCACATTGTTCCACGGCCCATACATCAGGCTTTAAAGCCATTTTTAACAAACATAAACAACGTCTAGATAATTGTTCGCTTGGATTTCCATGAATTGATGCCACATCATTTACTTGACACGCTAAACGTACAAGAAAATTTAAAACAGAATCCGCGTGAGCTCTCTTGATAGGTTTTGTCGATCCCGATTCTGTTTTAGGTAAAACAAGAGGCACGGGAGTATTGTTGGACGATGTCGACTGAGAACTAAAACGTTTACCGGATGGATCCTCGGCAATTGGTCGTTTTAAGCCACCCTGTCCTATTACTCTGGTCACATTGGATTCTGCGGCTTCAGCTTCCTCCTTAATCCTATACAATTCCCATTTGACAATGACTTCAGCTAATTCTACTGCTAGGCGCTTGTGCTCCATAGAAGCGGTAGGGTTGAATCCTATACGTTGAATAGAATTTACTATGTGTTGGACCAAGTGGTGCCTAACTGGGTAATAGACTTTGTAATGTCTCACAACCAACTGCAAGATATGCACCAATTGCTGCATGGAATAACCTTCTTCAACAATAATCTTTTTTGTCCAGTGAATGAGCATAGTGTTACCATCTTCCATTCGTATTGGCATAGCCGGTGTCAATATTTCTAATGCTTGTCGTACTACATTACGCGCATCAACAGCATGCGCCTTTAATAAACTATGAAAAACTTGTAAGACAATTTTTTTGTGAATAGCAAACTTAGCAATTATGTGACTAAGAAGAAGATGACCATGATATCTGGTAGTTGGATCTACACAGTTTTTGCCCAAAAGACAAGGCCAAGCAAATGTCATTAGGCGACGTAGTTTGCTTCCTTGTTTATTATTAGTCACATCGTGAATATGTTGCGACGCTTGTTCCACTATGAGACAGGAGAATTGTAACAGAGAAATACGCACGCAATCTTCAGATTTAAATGGATTATCCGGATCGATAACTTTATTAATAAACACAGACACAACGTTCTCTGGATCGTCTACATAAGGCATGGGAGGACCCCCGACCAACTTCGTGCCTTCACCTCTCTCAAAACTCACTGCAAAACACGGAATGATAATTAGCTGTAAAATATTAGCTTTCAGCTCTTGCGACATGTTATTTGAAGGAAAATGTTCCACGAAGCGGAAGAAAGCATTTCGTTTCCATTCGACTGTATATTCTTGCGCTACTGTATTCTCCAAGAAATCTCTGAGAAATTGAAAATCAGGCACAAATCGGTCACAGGTGGCTCGTAACAATTGAAATAATAGATCGATCTCGTTCGGTTGGTGACGAAAATAATGCAATAAGATCTTGACGATGTGTTTCGGCTCTTTCCAATGACAGTAATCGACGCTCTCGACCTTTTTATGTAAAGCTTGATACTCATCGTTGCACCAGATCTGTTTCAACGCGTTCACTAGTTGACTTTGCGTAGACAACCATTGTTCGTCAAATCTAATGAGTATACTGATAATCTTGATCGCTCGATATTGCATTTCGCTTTTTTCCGCGTGAGTTAAGTTAGAATTCATCTGCGAATGCGTGAGCAGCATCATGAGTCGTGTCGTGCTATTATGTAAACTGTCACGGAACGGTTTTCCGTCTTTGTGTCTGATCAAAAATTCTAAATACTTGCTCCATTGCTGATCTTTGATATTGTTGTCACGCAAAAACAAATTAAGTGTTTCCGTCGGATAACGTAAAAGAAATTTCATTAGTGGAATCTTGAACGGACTGGATATTTCAACTGACAATGATTTTTCAGTTTGCAGCACGTGTCTACAAAGTGAATCGATGAATTTTGGAGTCGCTGCTGGAATCTCGTGATATATCCCGATAATAGTGGTAATCTTTTGCTCCGTCTCGCCCGATTTTAAGATGCTTTTGTGTGATTGAATCAAAATCTCAAAGAGCTTCTTCAAATGTTGTAGAAGCTGCTCGCACAGGGTAACACTAAAAGTGCTCGGAAACAATTGCGTCAAATACGATAATCTTCTGACATAGTTTAAGCTAAGATTCCTGTGATCACCTAGCGTAAGTAGCATAGGTCGCATCATTGTGTGAACCGATTCCATATCGATCTGAAAACCGGCAATAAACATTTTCATGCATTCAAAAGCTGTTTCTTGCAACTCGGCATTAGATTTCTCCAGAGCTTCGTATAAAACAGTAAATATCTTCTCTTGCCATCCCACAACGTAGTGGCAGGCAGCGAGCGCTCGTAGTGATGATTTTCGCAAAGGCATTAAATTTGATACTGATTTATAGCATGCTAATTTACTGATACTAGTCTCATCCAATTCGCACAGGCTTATCAATTCTTCACAAAATGTCTTGTGTTCCAGTATATCGACAGTGAAGAGACGTGGATTTAAGGTGGTGCAGAATGTGTTGCCATCCATTAAGCCGATTTGTGCGTTAGCAGGTAGATGCTTTAAAAGATTCTTGGGTGGAATCACGTCTGCCAAAATATCCCTGTGCGGTTCCATCACTTCCGTCACTGATTTATTTTGTAATTCAGCTAAAAGACGTAACGACGCCATTGCTTGCTCTCTCACAATTGTATGTGGCGATGTTACCTGTTTCACTAGTTCGCGAGTGACTTCATTTAAGCTCTTACTATGCGCCTCTATTATATCTGTGCTGCTTTCCTGAATATTAAGATTGACGCAAATCCGTAACATCTTGTCTAAATATTCTTTAGCAAGATCGATACAACCATTGGACACCTCGTCGGTCAAATCCATCATAACAAATAAAAGAGCTTTCAGAAAAGTGAATAAATGATTGAGAACCCACTTTGTGGCCATTCGCTCATAAAGAAACTTGATTGCTATACAACCACCCATTTTGGCGTACCAGGCTCGTTCATAGCATAACGAACACATTCTTTCTGCCAAATATTCCATGAAAGGCAATTGACAAGCCCGTTCTTTCGAGCCTAGAATACTTGTCGCCGTTTCTAATATCAGCATAAGCGCTAGATATCCTGTTCTGTAAAGTTCTCTTTCGTCATGACTCATTATGAGAGCGAGGGCATCAATCAGCACAAACGGATCTTGTCCTTGCATTTGAATTTCTCGTTCCTTCCAGTGAAATAGACCGCACTGTAGTGCAATAGCGATCATCGTGTAATGTCTCACGACAGCAGCAACGGTGTTTAATACTGTCGATTTCAATTCTTTGATCTCGGTGGCGACGAACATACCGGTTAATGCAGTCAACTGCACGTTACGTGCCACAGTGTCAGGACACTTATAGTGAGAACCCTGTTGATGCGGTATTTCATCTTCTTTAAAGCTGGGATGACTGAATAATTTATACCACAAGTAAATGGAATCATTCAGCATTAAAGACGCTGTCAAGTAGCAATATATGATTTCCCAGCATTGTTTGCGGTAGAACACGTCTGTTGTACTAGACTTCAATGCGTTAAACGCGGCCTCAATTATTTTCTCCACTGGGAAATCGATCGGCTGAGAAGGTCCTTGAAAATGAACTATCACGTTCGGCGAATTGGTCTCGCGATCGTTGTATTCCAATTTTTGGGGTTCAATCATCATCCGACGATTTCCACCTCCGAATTTGCCGAGAACACGGAATGCCACAACAGCTTGTTCTTGCGGACCATGTAGTGTTCTCCAGAGAGCTTGCATCAAAGCGGCACGAACAGGTTGTATGTGCTCATATAAAAAATCAGGTTGCAAGTTATCAACACATAACTCGAGAGTTCGAAGACCTTGACTTACTAAGTTACTGCTTCCGTTAAGAGCAGAAACTAGAGGATCCATCAACATCGGAAGATACGGTAAAAGAGAACTGAGACGTACTGGTACAGTTAAACATAATTCGACAAAAAGATCTTTCATATGTTGTCTGTGCAAGCCAGATTGTAATCTGTTCAGTCCTTCTAACATATTGGGAAGCAGAGGTAAGAATTCTTGGTAAAGTAAATCATGAGATCCACCGCCTATTGAACGAAATAATGCACGTAAAAGTAGGAAATAATTGTATGGCTCTTTTGCGGTCATGGCGAGATCCATAGCGCGATTAACAATTTGATTTAAATGTGGTCGTAGCATGTGCTCATTTTCTGCCGGAAAGAGCGATACGCTGCCGAATACAAGTTTAAACAATCTGAGATACAAGTTACTCCGTTCTATATTCGAGCCCATGTCGCTCATTCGTTCTAAGAGATATTCTACTAAAATCGTAGCGAAGGTCGATGAAATTGTAGGACTAGATAAAAAGGCACTTCCGATAATTTGCAAAGCGCAATTTTTAAAAATTCTTTCAACCATATAATCTATGGTAACGGAAAATATCTCGTGAAACGTTTGAGGGCTCATTTGAGTAAAAACGTTGCCAAAAAGTTCGAGCACTTCCTTTTCCTCTCGCGTTCGTATTGGCTGAGATTGCATCGGTCTAATTGGCTGCATGGGAGTGCCAATAGCAGCTGGACCGATTGTGTAAATATCCAGAGCCGGTAGTGCCCATTTGACAAATTGTATATAAATCAGAGTTTCCTTCGGCTGGAGCTGATTCGATTGCGTTACTTCGCTCGTTCTGCTGTTGATACAATTAGACGTTATAGCTTTAGCACCATGCACCAAACTTTTTACAAGATTTCTATATTCTGCTACATTATAACTCATGGCTTGCGTTATCGGAAATCCAAACTTAGACTTTGGTGGTTCCTTTTCTTCATTCAGTTCTGTACAAGGCTTAGTATCTTCTGCGTCTACTGTAGCCAATTTCAATTGTTTTGTCTTACTTCGTAAGATTGGAATATAAATTTTAGCAATAGTTTTAAATTTCAGTACGAACACCAACAATATACGCATTAATAATTCACGTTTCTGATTGTTATCTGAATCAGATTTTTGTCTCACTGTGTCCACTAAATTCATCAGCAACTTGCAAGACACCATTTGTACGGCAGTGGGTAAAGTTTGATCGAGCACATTTTTGCCGTACAAATGTACCGCTTTTGATACATCGTTTAGCGGTAACTGTAATCTCACGTGATGAACCAGATCGGCAAGAGTGGAGTAAGCCAAAGGTCGAAGCGTTTCGTGAGCGGTCCATCCGTGCCCAATGAAAATATCCTCATTGAAAAACACTTCCATGTGCGGAATAAACTTATTTCGTAGCTCTGTAGCTAATATGTGGCGAGATGCAACTACCAACTCTTTCCGCAAGTGTGCCACTTCCATGGGACATAAAGTAAACAAACCTATGAGACCTTCAACCAACATTGTGCTGTTTTGGGATATCAATTTTTGATGAGGTCTAATAACGTACGCAAGAAACGATAATGTTCTGACTTGCGCACCCATAAAATCAACAAAGACTTCTTTGTTGAATCTAGGAGACGCTCGATGCTCTGGACTCGGTTGTAATGATATGGTCGTTATCACGATCGGAATGAAATCCGACACATCCTGATGTACATTCTCCTTGTACAGTTGATTCATAAGTACCACAATTAATGGTAGCTCTTGAAGTACTTTGAGAGACAGCACTGCTTTTGGAATTAAGTTATACTGAAAATAAAATAATATACGTTATTCATTCTGTTTGTTTTATACAGATCTATACTTGGAATATTAACATTTTTGTTTATTTTCAATGACACAGTACTGTTTATACTACTTAGTTTGTTATTAAATAAACAAAAAAAAGTATACTTACTGTCAAGAAAGTATTATCCGGTGCTTTTTTCTCACTTTGTATTGCCGTAATCGTGAATGTCTCCTTCAAGAGAGCCTCTATGTTGAGTTCTGATAAATCTTTCACTCGTAAAGGAGGACGCGGTTCGAATATTTTTGACAGATTTTTTGGTAACTTGCTATATACTAGTTTGACAAATTGAAGAAAATATTGTATCTATTGAAAAAGAAAAAATATATTAAAATTAATAGTAATTTTAGAAATACTGTAATACAGACATAAATTAATATTATAAAAAAAGATAACATATTACTTACTTCTGGATTAAATGTCGGTTTAAATTGCTTATGAAATTCGATAATAATGCGCAAACATACTAATACATTTTCTTCGTTATCTTTTTCTAGTAGTTTGGACATAAGATCCAGAATTGGCCTGACATACTGGCGCAATTGCTCGGTGTGCGGTAATCTGTGTATCATTTCTAAGATCAATTTTCTAACTTGTTGAATATTGTATTCCGATATAAAATGCGGCTCTCCCTCTTGTAATATCTTCAAAAAAATCTTTATCATATGGTCAAAAAATTGCGAAGATTGTTGCGAACACATAATGGCCTGTACAGAGACATTAGTTTTAATTAATTAATTGAATTGGACATTTGTCTTTTCTCGATAAAACAATTTAAAAAGAAATATTTTGCGCTAAATATAATAAATATATTTTGACAAGTGCGCAAAATTCTTGTTATAATTTGTACCTCAAAATTTTCCGACAATTCTTGAGCTACTTTCAGTTTCAGTTCATCCTTCACTGTCACATCGGCCAGCATAGTCACGTACGATAGATAAGTGCTTATTTGTCCCAACTGTTGATCTAGCGCCATTTTGATAGTTATGATTGTTTGAAAATTCCGTAATTAATATTGTAAATAGTCCGTTAGATCTGTACACAAAAAAAATTAAATACGTACAGTAACATGCAGAAATGTTCAAGAATATTTAAAAATTAAAACTACACAATATAAGTTTACCAAATAATCTAAATTAATAAAAAGTTCGTTTTTTTATTTTTATTACAGTAAAGTGCATGTGCGTGCATACACACACTTATAGAAGCTACATATTGGTTACATATTATTATAATTAAAGTTTTATATAGATATTAAATAGCTCGTCTTAACACACTTAGCATAACGCATATATTCGCTACAAATATGATCTATCCAAATGAATATAAACATATGTTTTAAAATCAATAGTTCTTTTTGTACTGTGTAAACAAGCCTTAGCAACCACTTGACTTAGTTAATGTGACAAAAATTTAATTTACACTATGTTGTGTGTATACAGTTGTATTTTAACAAAAAAGGACTACTTTTATACAATCTGATGTAACAATATAACGCGAAAAAGGACAATAGCGAATAACAAAGGGATGTAAAAATGAAACATTCGAAGAGAAACGCTACGAGGTCGATATACATAGGTCTAAACACTATATTCCCATCGTAGATACATAAGACCTGGTAACTGCATTGCCGATTTCAGTTTACTAACACTGCTGTGAGCGACGAGAGCGACTACAGATGCGATCTCTCAATCGAGCTAACATTTTAACCAGAGAAATCGAAGTGCGCTAAAATGGATGAAACGACAATCGATTCGATCTTTTCGGGATCGCTGAAGTCCTTACCAGCCGTCAGCTCGAAAATCGTGCGAATCTTTACAAGTTCAACCTTCACTGGTATGCGTAGTTAACGTACACATAGTACGCGTAGTTAAAGTTAAAAAAAAAATAAAATAATAATAATAATAAAACTTTGACAATATAAACTCATAAGAAACATAAGAAGAAAATAGAAAAAAAAGTGAAAAGCATTGCGATATGAAGTAACAATAGTTACATTTTAGACACAACAATGGAGAGAAATACTTTGATGGCTCAGTGTTATCCCAAACTCAAGGATTATTGCAGAGAAAAACATGGTTTAGAATTCCAGGTGAGTCTTGACACATATATGAGAAAGACAGTAATGCGGCACACTAATCATTCGGCAAACTAACGTATACATAATGCGAAACATCAGTTATATGTTCCGAAATTGATTTTTGTGGTGCCAGGCACCGGTAACATACGTGATTCAACTCTTTTGATTCTTCTTGATAAAATTAAACTCGACATATGCATTTAGGTCATACCTATGTATATTTTTTTTGCTCTTTTTTTTTCTTATCACTTGAAATAAATCACACTTATTATTAGTAAAAATTAAAATTTGACTTACATAAAAACCGATTGATTTTCCTTCCCACAGGTGGTTGACATGAGATGGGGCGTACGCGATGAAGCCACCGACGATCACATGACTACGGAGTTGTGTATGAGAGAAATAGAAAACTGTCAGAGGCTGTCTATGGGACCTAATTTTGTTGTAAGTAATTAAACTGTAAATTGTTTGTTGCAAATCTCTGTACTTTAATTTAAATGTGAAGATGTAATATGAAAAACAGAAGTAACAATTGATATCTCTCTTTTGAAAAGTAAAAACGATTTAAACTACTTTAAAAGAAACGGCTGTATAACAAAAAATTATATAACGTATATTCTTGCGACACATACGCAGGTATTTCTTGGACAAAAATATGGATATCGGCCCATACCGACTTACGTTCTCAGTTCGGAACTAGAGATGTTAAGAACCGAATTAGAAAGTCAAGGAATGGATGTCAGTCTTCTGGATAGATGGTATAAAAAGGATAGCAATGCTGTACCGCCTACAAGTATACTACAACCGATTTCGTCTATTCTTAAAAACTTCAACAATAAAGTAATCAATTAATATTTAGTGATATATTTCAGCAAACTATTATTACACAATTATCTATTTCATCGCTTATATTGTTTTATTCGCGCGTATTTAAGAGAATACCTAAGCTACAGCAAGAAGATCAAGCAATCTGGTGGGACACCATGTGCAAGATGCAAAAATTGTTTAGAAAAGGCGCGCAATCTTTGTTTAACACCGGAAAGTTCGACAAGGATACAATGCACAATTATTTTATGTCCGGTATGTCAAAAAAGAAAGTTTCATCAATTATGCAATCAGAATGAGGACATTTAGTTTTGATCACATTTTTAAACAGTGACCGAGCGAGAAGTGATCAACGGAGTGTTGAACGTAAAAAATACAAAAAATCACTGTTTGGCGTACGTGCGATACATCAACAATATTAATCTGCAAAATCTGAGGAAAGCTAGTTTGTTTCTGGATATAGCTAACAGAAGTTTGGACAACGAGGCATCGAAATTACTGGCTGACCTCAGAGACGAAAGATTACCGAATAAAATCGAAAGCACGAATTTGCAGAGGTATTTTGTTTTTTTATTTTTATGAAAAATAAAAAGACAATTTTTAGAATCCACGTAAAACACGTAGAAAATATCGCTTAGGTACACGGTGGAATGGATCGGGCGAGAAGGTTTGGATCCCGAAACTCATGGCGAGTATCTTCAGCATTTCATCACTCACTTTTATCGGAACATAGTGAAACTCGTGGATCGCGCTATGAGAAAAGAGGACAGTTCCGCACAGGGACAGATAATAACTGAGATTTTGCAACATCTGCACGCTTGCAATAATTCTGTGAAGGTGAGCGTCACTATCAAGAGTTCAGTGAATTGGTACGAAAGAAGTTTTTTCTCTCAGGTATTCTATGGACGCGAGGACACTTTGGAGAAAATAAAGAATTACATGCTGGGCAACAGCGACAAGCCGTTGGTGCTGTACGGGGAAGGTGGATGCGGCAAGACATCTCTGTTAGCGAAGAGCGCGGGTTTGACGAGCAGCACCTGGCTCACCGGCAAAAAACCGGTCAGCATAATTCGATTTCTCGGTACCACCCCCGACAGCAGTGCGCTCACTCCCACACTGATCTCAATCTGTCAACAAGTGAGTGTTCCGTTTGTAGTTCTTTCTTTTTGTTTTGCTTCGTATGAAACGAAACTCCCGTTTTCCAGATTTCGTACAATTACGGATTGTCGTTTGAGGAGATTCCTGACGATCTGGTGCCGCTCACAGCTTATTTCAAATACCTGTTGACCTTAGCCAACGCGGAACAGCCTATTCTATTGTTTCTAGACAGTGTCGATCAACTCACAGGTGTACAGGGTAACAAATTGTCATGGTTACCCACGAGACTTCCATCGAACTGCAAGGTAGATATTGAATTCGGTGATATCGAGAATTCTAATAAATAAAAAAAAAATACACAACGCGCGTGTTACAGATGATTTTATCATGCGCAGCGGAAGAATCAAATCCACTGATCTCGCGAGATTATCAGTTATTGCGCAGAATGATAGATACCGAAGAAAGCTTCATCGAGGTAACCGCCTTGGGCGAAGATCTAGCCATGGACGTGATAAGGTGAGACAATTTTACGATATCGCTATGACAAAAACAAACTGACTCGAAAAAAACAAATTAATCGAGAAACAATTTTCGAAGGATGTGGATGAAAACAGCCAGAAGAGATCTGAATAACTATCAATGGCGTCTGGTGGCAAACGCGATCTCGAAATGCTCACTGCCGATCTTCGTGAAGCTCGTGTTCGCGGAGATCTGCAGGTGGCGTAGCTACACGAAGCCGGCGGACACGCATCTCGCCAGCACGGTGATGGACAGCATTATGATGCTGTTCGAGAGGATCGAGAAGCAGCACGGCAAGATTCTGGTGTTTCACGCGCTGGCCTATATCACGGCCGCCAAGTCGGGACTGTCGGAATCCGAACTCGAAGATCTGATCTCCTTGGACGACAAAGTTCTCGATGACGTTTATCAGTACCATTTACCACCGGTCAGACGCATTCCGCCACTGTTGTGGACCAGAATAAGAAACGATCTGCCTAATTATCTGAGCGAGAGAGAGGCGGACGGTGTGAGCGTTATGAACTGGTATCACAGGCAATTCAGAGATACGGCCAGAGAACGATACTTCAAGAACATGAACATGGCGATGTACTTTCACTCGATGATCGCGGATTATTATTTGGGAATTTGGGGTGGCGGTAAACCGAAACCCTTCAAATACACTGAAATACAGAGACATCGGTAAATAAATAAATTGTAACTATAATATTGAAAAGATATAAAGAAAAAATAAATAAATTTTATCATACATTTGTCTAGGTTCAATTTAACAGACAAGGAAGGCGTAGCGGACAGAAAAGTGCCGGAGCAACCCCTGGCATTTTATTCGAAAGAAGGAACCATCTCGAGATACAACTTACGAAAGTTCGGCGAATTACCATTTCACTTGGTAAGAGCACGGCGATTTAAGGATCTCTTCGAAAACGTTCTGTTTAACTACGAGTGGCTGCACGCGAAACTGAGCTCTTGTCCTTTGCAAGCAGTGCTCTCCGACTTTGAAGACGCGTGTAACTTCATCGAAGACCAGAGTTTGGTAAGGTAAGCCATCAATACAAACAAACACAGACATTCAAAGAATATTTCAATTTTCTTTGTTCAAATTTTTTATGACTATTAATATTATGATTATTAAATCCAGAATGATCGTTTCACAGAGAACTCATGTTGGTCGCTGATGCTCTGAGATTAGGTGGCGCGATTCTGGGAAATCATTCGGACATGCTCGCGCCCCAGCTGATCGGTCGATTGTTACCGGAAATCGGCGGGAACGTCAATGTGAGAATGTTGCTACGAGCGTGCGATCACGACGGGGTCAAGCACTGCGCTTTACTTCCTCTTTATCACTGTCTGCACACACCCGGCGGACCGTTGAAAGTAACTTAATTATTCTGCATATTCTAATTACATATTTTGTAGTTTTCTAAAATAAAAAAATAAAAAAAAAAAACTGCTTTTCAGTATTCGCTGGAAGGTCATCAGTTTGCGGTATTTGGTTTTTGCTTGACATCGGACTACCGCTACGTAGTGTCGATTTCCAATAAATTCATCACCTGGGATCTGAGCACCAGCGATATGACAAAGGATGTGAATCCCGGTGTAGAAGGTATAATGCAACAATTGGTCCTGAGTCCCGATAACAGATACGCCGCAGCTTTCACGACCAATTATCAGGTACAAGCTCTTTTCTCTCATTTTTCTCTACAACGTCAAAAAGCTATCTTGTTCCCACAATTGAAGAAAGTTTCATAATGTATGACTTGTCGTAGACTGTCGTTTTAAACACTTTGACGAGCGAATTTGTTGTGATCGACAATCCTTTACCAAACGAAGACGCGGTGTGCGGCGTGTATTTGATGAATCAATACGCCTTCATTTATGGAAAACTGGGATGGTGCAGATTCGATCTGCGAGGAAACCTACTCGACACTCATAGTAACCCGGAAGATTCTAATAAATGGCCGATTCTGTGTAAAAAAAAAAAAAAAGAAAAAAAAACCATTCAATCTTTTACATTTCTATTATACATTGCGTATTCAAAACTGCGTTTTTTGTACACAGATGTAGGGTATACGAACTTGGATCATTATTGGATCGTGTTCTGGTCAGGAAGCATCGACGACACGCGTATGCTTTTGCACACTTACAGAAAGAAAATATCACTGGATTCGTTTCAGTTTCACAGGTGAAAAAGAAGATGAGATTTGTATTCAGAAGATGATTACATTTCGAGATGACAGAGTAACAGTAGAAAAAAATTGTTTCAGCGTCATGGTTATGAGCAAAGACAAAACTACTTTGTACGCGTGCACGAACGAGAACGATTATAGAGTCACGAAGTACAAATGCGACGAAGTCTCGTCCTACTGGGAAAAGGCCTTCGATATGCCGAGGGCGTACAACGACGATGTGGAATATCTGTTGCAGCTGAAACTGGATAGAGAAGAGGAAATGCTATTAGCGACCACCGGAAATGGATTTATCGTGTGGTTTTTAGAGAGCAAGAGCAACGCGCATGTATTGATGCTGCCGAACGGAGTGAGGAACATCAGCACGCGAATGATGTGCTCCAATTCGATTATGGTCAGTGGTACCAAGAATTACGCTGTCGCCGGTGTAAGGTGGGTGTTGTAAAAATTAATATTTCTTTTCGCAAACACAAAAGAATATGAATAGACAAAAACAATATAAACTTAAATTGTCCTGCGTAGAAAAAATCTGTACGTTTGGTCGCTGGAGACGTCGGAGTTGGTAAAAGTATTGGACGCGCATTTCGCGAGGATTATTCAATTGGAGGCGCTAACGGTTGGAAATTGGAATAGCGTTGTAACGTCGAGTATCGACAGAAGCGTTAAAGTGTGGAACATCAACAATATCTTCGAACAAGTGCATGTTATCGATAGACATGAGTTGCAGATAGACATGATAAGGTACTACCTATTTCTTTTAAAATATCAACCATGAAAAAATACAAATTTATTTCAACTGCGCGAATTGTTGAAAACAGTTTAGCTGAGAAAGGCAACTTGGCCGTTACCGTCACCAGGGACTGCGTGGGCATTTGGGACTTGCAAACGGGCAAATTGATATCGAAGCTAGCTGACAGTCCGTTAGGAGCGATTGTTACACACGCTTGCATTACACATGACAGCAAGTAAATAAATTTTCGTCCGATAATGATGAAGTAACAAAGAGAAAAGCGAGAAAAGCACATTTTTTATTTCAGATATATCGTGTCAACGGAATCGGGAAATGTTCTCGTGTGGAACAGGATCACGGAACAGGTGTTGTTCAAAGAAGAGCAATCGAACGTTAAGCAGTTAACGCTTGTAGAGAACTCGACAAAATTCATAACCGTTTCAAGACCAAATAATCCTGTCGGTGTGGAAAACGTGCGAACTACCGCAATTCTCATTATGAGGAGTATTCCTGGTAGGAAAATCCTCGATAATTTTATGCAACTATCTTTTTAAAAAATACTTGAACAAACATCTTTTGCTCTTTAGATGGCAGAACAATATTCTCTTTGGAGTATCCTGTGAGAAGCAACACCGGTACACCTTTCCGCCAAGTTGTGATAACATCAGACGACGCTTTCCTGGCGGTGCCAGCAGCTGATAAGGGCAACAGAGATTGCGTTATAATTTACAGTGCAAAAACAGGAGCACTGATTAGTAAAATACCTATTAAGGTGCCTGGATTTAAGGTAATTACTTTCTTGAGAGATCAAAAAAAAAAACGGAACTACTAATTAAATCTAAAGAGAACATTAGTCACATAAGTTTATGTTAGGATATTATATGCATCACTCCGATGTCTAACAAACCACAATGGATTGGAATTATCGGTTCTGATAAAGGAACGATTCTTGACATCAACAAGAAGAAAATTATACGCACAATTCCAAAATGGAGTGGGAATATTAGCAAGGATGGCAAATATACTTTATACGCTCCCAGCAGGTATATACATACAAGTGTATGAAACATATCTTTGTTTATTTTCGTATTCGTGAAACGTAATATGTTTTTGCTTTTCCTATATTTCAGAGGAGGCCTTGAGCTCATAGAATTAAAGAAAGGTACAACCGTGAAAACATACATACCCAAAGTCGCGGAAGGTGTATTTACTGTTATATCAATGTTTAATCGTACAGACGAGTACGTGTTATACTATCACAGCGGTCGAAAAACTATCAGAGTTTTCAGGTAAAAATATACATACGTTGCAATTAATAAATACATTAACCAATTTGATTGAAAATAAATATTGTATACATCTGTGAGTGTAATTTATTTCACAGATCCTCAGATTGTGAAATGATAGCAAATTACAGAGTACAAGCTGAGCTGAGTGCTATTGACAGTACTTATGACGGTAAGAGCATTGTCTTAGGAACAGTGGATGGTTGTGTGTCAGTGTTAGCAATAGCTGATCCTAACAAACCTGAGATGAGAGAATATCTCGCAAATGTGCCATCTCGCGATGAACAGGTGAGCGAAAGATATAATTAAAGAAAATAATCGACCGATTGTCTCTCGTTACTTTTATCTCCAATTTCACAATATATACGTTATATATTCTCGTTTAAATATCATTACGTTGTGTACCAGTGAATTACTTTGCAAATCAACAATCAACTCTCTGAATCAATGTTACAACAGTTTGAGATAAAGAATTTTTGCAAAACTTTCAGAGATAAATGCATTATCTCTTTCTCATGCATATTATTTCATCATAAATTACTTTTCAAGTCTTATGCGCGTTTTGTAATTGTGCGCAATTACAAAGGTTAGTTTGCCCCGAGTGAGAACACTTTCTCCAACAATTACTTTGTATACGTATTTGTAACAGCCGGAAAAGTTAGAATTATTAAAAAGTGCGAAAAACGTACCTGTGTTCTCGTCGATCTCTTCGTGTATATTTCTTTTTTGTCGTATGTACACAAAACAAAGTTTATTTACACGCGGCAAGGTTGTAGAGGTTAGACATAATATTATTATTATTAGGAGTGGTGTGCCGATACCTTTACACTTTTTGTACACCTTTTTGCTCTCAAGTTCATATACACATTTGTAGATGAGTAAAAAAAAATGAGAAACATTAATAATAATACATAATGAGAAACATTAATAATAATACATAATGAGAAACATTAATAATAATACATAATGAGAAACATTAATAATCTATCAGATGTACTTACTCATTATTTAAAGATTATAAATACAAATGTGTGTGTAATATAATCGCTCAGTGTAAAGTTTATAAAGATTCGATTGTGACTATGGAGTCTACACTAGATTCAAAGAGAGAAATGGACAAAAAACTTGTCTATTCCGCATATCTCCACTACTAGAAAACTCCTCCACTTTCCAGTCATTGGTTGTCAGCGAGTATCCCGCCAATCCCGTGCACAACGCTATCCTCACTTTGCCCGCTTTTCTTCCCCTATGCGCAGTAAGATTCTCTCCTCTCTTTGAACCCGGTGTAGTTTCAGCGAAATTGACAAATTGCATTGGTGAATTCAATCAGTCGACCAATCGAGCGCGATTTATGACATTTCTGGAGAATGCGTTTGTTTTGAGCGTCTATCTTTGTTCTAAATATTTTTCATTTACTGGAACTTGTGTTGACTTGAGTTAAAGTGGCTGTTTTTCATTTATTGCGACTTGTGTTGACTTAAATTAGTAAACGTCAATAGCTCCTTATGGCAAAGAAAAAGCATTTATTCGCGCAAACTTATAGAGAGTGAGTAAAAGTCGACTCGAGTCACTAAGTGGACATGTGACATTTAAAGATTAACAAAGACTGACGTTTAAAAGCGCGTAAGCAAACACACCCCTGATGCAAAAAACAAAAAAAAAACATTAACTGCATTTTTACACACTAACATATTTTTTTCAGTGGAAGAAAAAAACCGAGAAGCATCGGGCTGCGATAAAGTTTAAAGCTGCTGCTCGAATCGCTCGTGTAACTCACGATTTGTCAACGAGCGTCAAATCGACAGGTGGCATCTCGGAAACAATCAAAGAAGCGGACGAGAACATGGAATAACTCGCGCTGATTAGTACATCGTATAAAATTGTTATAGTGGCATTTTAGTAGCTTGTATTTAGAGTACCGAGCTACGAAAACGTGGAAACTGATATTGTTACGATATTAATTAGTCACTTATTAAAAGAAACAAGTAAAGCACACAGGCAGCAAGGAGAAATCACAACTACAGAATGTATATTACATTTATTTGTGTCTTTTTATAATTTCTTTCGTCTTTTTTTGTTCTTTTATTCGAATGGTAAAAGAACACGAGACGAATTCGATAAGGAAAATATTATCTCGCGGATGCGAGATTAATCTTGTACAAGTGGAAATTCAAGGTAATATACTCATCGATTCGGTCTGTACAAAAAAAAGAAAAAAAAAAAAAAAAATCCGTGTCGAAACCGTCCCGTGTTGTGTGTGCAATGTAATGAACGTTACGGTTTTGATATTCTTCTACTGATTAATTTCCGAAAGATTGGCTGTGTAAAGTTTTACGAAAAATAATACGGGAACATTCGTGAATCAAAAATAAACTTTAAAATGAACATAGGAACTCCGCAATAATTTAAATTAAATCTGGGAAATTTAGTTGCAACTTTTAGATGATTTTTGAGAACTGTCTCTTTGCATTTTATCGAGTTATCAGAACGTCTAAAACTGAAATCTCATACGTTTTTTTGTTTCAGATAGCTCAAAAACAAGCTGTTAAAAATCGGTCGAAAATTGCAACAGAATTCCAGCTTTGATTTAAATCGTACGTGTTTTGATTTTGCGAAATTACAAGAGACACGGTTGTCGACAATTGTAGTTATTCTAATTCTTCAATATTGGAAAATTAATCGTTTATAAGTTTTTCTTATCTTGAAGCAAAAACTTATAAGATATTTATTTCCAAATAATTTTGTTATATCTTATATATTTCACGCTATGTTTATATTAATCGTAAGTATAAACATAATTGCGATAAATAAATAATTGCGATTTACGATGTTAGTTTCTATTCGGCAATGATGGGATGTAACTGTATAGAACAATCTTCTTCAACATAATTTATTAGAAAAAAGTTACATCGTTGAAACTAAACTTACGCCGCCATCAATAAAATACTCAAAATGTTGACAACCGTGCGTCTCATCTTAATCTCGCGATATTCGCGTTATCTTTGGATTCCAATGCTATATGCAAAACAACTTGAACCGTTTCATACGGGCTCAAATAATACCACGTTCTATAAACGCAAGAGGTTGCGTTCAAAAGAGAATTCAATTTCAATTAACTCTTAACCGCATATCGCGCGATGATCGACAACTCGATTGATAAACATATTTGAATCAAATTATTACAGCGTATTTCATATCGATGCATACTGTGTGCATCTGTGGTATATAACAAATATGCGGTTAACTAGTTAAATCAGTTAATCCATTCGCTTTTGTTTAGGCTAGTGGTTGATAATCATGAATTGTACCGTCTTGCTGTATTTAAAATGACTGCACATACAAGGCTAATAATATTTCGAAATTAAAGAAGTTGTGAAATTTCTGTTTGCACTTTCATTTGTCTTCGCTTATTCAAAACAAACCAGAGTTCGTTCGAAGATGTCGATTATCTAGTAGTCAAGTTCTTGTTAATTCTCTTCTCGTTTTGTCAAACATTGGAACTGTCTTGAAAATATCTTCACGATTTCGATGGTGTAGTGCCATTTTTTTTTGAGTTCTTATTGCAATTCGCTGCCTTTTTGTGTTTGTTGTTGTTGCTGCTGCTGTTGTTGCTGTTGTGCCGTATCTTTAATATGTTTTTCAACCTATAAATAATATGGAAAAAAAATATTTATTATCTAATTATTCGTCAGATTCAAGTGTGTGCTTTCTGTATTTACATACCACTTTTTTTACATGTCTATATGCGCCAGACTCTGTGTTTCCATGTACATTGTCCACTTTGTAAGGTGGTATAATAGTGACATTATCAAATACAACAATATTAGCTCCATTCCACGTAATATCTTGAATAGTTTTTGAAATAGCAATAAACAGCTTTTGTCCTTCTGGAGATACTCCGGCCTGCAGAGCCTTTACCAGTCTCTTCTTCTCTTCAATCTGATTACGAATTCTAGTGTTAAGCCTATGCAAGTTAAGGCTTTGTAGTGGTTCGTTGGTAGTTGAACTAACTTCTCGTATCACTTGCACATTGGATACGAGTGATAAATTTACTATATGAACGTCATTTAGAGACGGTCTACCACTGGATGATGGGCATTCTAAGTTATTATATATATTAAGGAATATATTTGTATCATTTATTTTTTAAGTCTATATATTTTATGTAATAAATATCAATTCTCCAACCTTAGAAATTTGGATCTGTACATCATTGATAGTTGATTCATGATAAAACAGATAAGAAATTTAAAAAATTTTTATCTGTAAAAAAACTTTTTGTAAGATTAAAGTAGATACCTCAGATATTAGCTTGTTTTCTTTTATCCAAATTTTTAAGATTTTATTTATATTATATTTTTAAGATCTTATTATATTATAATCAAAACTCAGTTTTGTGCTATTAATGTTAAGAATAGTTTTTATTGTAACAAGTTTGTGAATGCTCCACTGATACTGCAGAACAACTTTATCAACATTTAACTCAAAATGTAACACAATTTCTGTATGATGCAACAGTAATTAATTTTATATCATACAAATAAAGATATTTATTTGTATTACTTACAAATGTATGTTATTATATGTAATAATACAAAAATTGACAAAATTATTACACCAAAAAAAAGTATTGTTACATTTCTTCAAAACTGAATAAAAATGAGCAGAATCGAGTACAACAATAAACACAGTATAATTAAAATATGCAAGTGTAAGCAACAAAACAAATGCACGAAGAAGTGAACAATCATCTCACACCGATTGATAATGAAAAATGAAAACTAACCTGACAAAACTGAGTTTCGACTGTTAACGTGACTCACGAGGTAAGAAAAGCGGGATACTTTGCGAAGGAATTCCTGCGGTATCCCGACACGAAAAAAAACGTCAAGTCGACACGTGTCGCCGGGAGAATCGTCGCGAAGTCAACGCCGTTATTTACACTGCAGCTCGTACACAGCGGGACTCACATAGCAAGTGAACGCGCGCGAGACTGGCCCGTCGTCAATCAGTATTGTTTTCATAAAAAAAGGATACTTAGTATCAGCATCTTGGTCTGTGGGTCGAAGGCTAGTACCTCGCCTTCGATTTCCTGCTCGTGGCAAGTTTTACATAGCACTGTACTCCCGATAGTAAACCAGTCGTTCGAGGCAGCCATTTTTGACTGCCACACTCTCATACACGACTTGTCTACACAGCGCTATGCACCATTCTTTTCTACGGTCGCTGATCTGTGAACCTAACCTCACACTTTTTTCAGCCCGAACGGTGTCCAGCGTGTACTAACGCCCTCTTAGCAAAGTACAAATTGCGGCAAAGTAGAAGATAGTATAGGTTACTTTTACAGTAAGTGAACAGTAATAATATATAAAAAAAAAAAAAAGAACTAATAATGTGTTACCGAAAAGAAATGGCCGTCCTTCTTGAGATATATTCAGATTCTTCGTTTGCACGCACTTTTCAATGAAATTCTTTGGGAAAAAGGATTAAACAAATCGAAACAGATCCCTTACTGAATATATTGTATCATTTGAACTAAAAGTCGACAAGCGTGACAAACTGATTTTCAACGACCCAACATACCTATGCAGGCCGACAGGAAAATGCTGAGGACGCCTCAGAGTAGATAATTTGGCCATAAGCAAAGGCCACAATACAACAAACCAACCAACTGATAAGAGGAAGAGGCAAACTCCAAATTGATCTTGACGACCTCATGTGATAAATGCACGAAGCTACAACCGCGATATTTACAAATTTGATGATTCTTTTACTATATTTCGAAAACAAATCGCTTTTTGCGAACTTGATATTTTATCATATTGATTATGAATATCTTAATGTTAATGCGGTTTTTTCTGTATTATAGTTAAAAACTATAAAAACAAAACAACGTTAATTTTGTCATCAAGCCCATTAATTGACGAATTAACCAATCAGGGTCACGTACACGCGACATCGCACAAATACTATATAAAAACATCAAATAGCATCGTATATGAGCATTTACAAAAGCTAAATTACGTAGTCGGTACAATAAGCCTTTAAATTTCATTTAAAAAACTCTACGTACTCTTTCCAAACAACCCAATATCAGCCAATACTATTTTGCTGTCTCACTTTTATGTTTTATTTTTCTGCCACATAGATAATGGAGGCGCTGTTATCTCCATTACAACATGAAAATCCAAGTAGTGAACGTTGATTATTTCGCGACTACTTGTCGGCCGTACTCGGATACGTTCGGCGACGCTCGGCTTGGCGGGTAAGTTCGCGTGGCAGCGCGCTTCAACTCCAGTTTACAATCGACGTTTGGAGAGTTGTGTCACCATAGTTGGATACATCTCGCGTAAAGATTCGTAAAGACAGGACCGCGTCAACGCGCGTAACGCGCGGCTAAAAGAGACGCGGATAGAGATAGCTAATCATTATGCTGTTTTTTTTAGGAGCAAAATGCTGATTGATTACCGCGTTGTTCCTTGTCACACGTAACGCGTTGACGCAGCCGGCCTAAAGTACGCAAAAAATGAACTCTCGTCTCACCGCAACACAAGATCACATTCTGTCTTTTCAACATCGAACAATAAGACGCGAAGTATATACTTCAAATATATAAATTGTAGTTTTAAGTGAAAATCAAGTGGAACATCTCGATATAACTCAGACGTGTGGTTTTTTCGAATTAATAGAAAGTATAATATTTTCTCATGGAATTCTGATATTTGAGCAGTGACACTCCACCGGCATGCCAACAAAAATACTAGATTGCACGTTGAGGTATTTATTTTATTTTTATAAAATTTGTTTATTATTTTATAGAATCGATCGTGTGTAATTTAAACACGTACTATTTCGTATAAGTACATATACGTGTATATCACGTGTTTTTAGTATAGTCGAGAGCGTTTTTCACAAACCTGTGTAAAACAATACTATTCGTGAGGAATAACATTTTTTATTTTCATAAAAGTGACGAGTTATTCTATTCGTTTGCAACGTAACAGAATATGTTACAATTGATAGCGACGATTTTGTTTAATGTACACTTATCAATATTTCTCTTTATTGTTACATTTACTCTGCTAAAATAGAATAGTGTAATATTGTTATTCTTTATATTGTGCACGTACCTGTTGATTCTCGAATTTAAAAAGCTCTTATTATGTTTATAATAGATTTGATATAGTTGTCGCAGATATCGCGATCGTGAAAGTTAAATTAAAGTTTCTTTGTTTTAAAATAATTTGATTTCTAAAAAGTAGAAATAAGATTTTTTAATTATTTAGAAAGTGTATAAAAATACTTTTTCTAAATTCTCGGTCGTATATATAGCATATATCTCGCTGCGTAAATTTCGCCGGTTACACAAATGTATAATGTATTTTGTCAAATGTAAATACATTCACGGTCGAGAGAGAGTTAAACACCACACTTTTCTGCTTCATCTCGAATGTGAATATCAAACGAAGTATAAACATTATACGGGAAGCTGCTACTTAATACTTTACGCTTTGTTTTAAAATTCGTGAGCGTTCTATAGATTCGCTCCGTAAACTCAGACGGATTTTATCGGACTTATTTCAAAGCTCTCTCCGAAGCTTTCTCACGAAACTTCTCCGAGTCGTTGTTGCTTCATCTTTCCATTCGGATTGTTAATTCATATCGCCATTTGATACAAAGTCAAGCGTATCATAATCATACACTCGATCGGTCTGAAAAAATGTAACGCGTTTTTGACATGTGCCATGTTTCAATTTCGTTTAATTTTGCTCAATTTTAATGAATTGTCCGAAAACTTTCCACTCGTGGACTCCTTTCGGTCCAAGTGAACATCGTGAAATAAAAACACAGGGTGTGCAAGTTGTTACGTCTAAATTGGCTTAGTGATTTAAGTGGATTGGATCAAGTGGCTGATAACATTTATTTAGGCGGAACACACAATACAAAATTACATCAAAATGATATGGTAAATGGGTGATATTCAGCACATCGCAAGAGCGTCGATTTGACATCGCAGCAAAAGAGTTAAGAATAGCTCTAACCATCACCACTCTCTCTTTCAGTTATTTTCCTTCTTGCGAAGTAGCATCACGCACTAAAAATGTAATTATGCTCATCTACTTGCTATTTTGTCTTCTTTGTCTTACAGTGTTACATTACTTTTTTTGCAAATTGTTTTATTTGTTTCTTCGTCACTTACTTTTACACATTAATTTAAAGAAAGCACGATTATCTGAAAATTTAACTTTGACATCAATTTAGTTCCGCACGTTTTGTCGTGTATAATATTTTACGGAACAGCAATTGACAATGTGTATTAGGAGTCGCTATTTTCTGGAAAAAAACATAAAGTCTCGCGAAATAACGACATTGTGAGGTCATATTGTGCGCCGAGCTCAAGTACATCGTTACTAAGAGATAATAAATCATAAGAATGTTCGCTTGCTGAGCTGTAGGTTTATAAGAAAACAGAACTTCTTGTTGTAACAATTGTGTATTTTTAATATTTAAATAGCAACTTTGCTCTCCTAAAAGTTGATCATATTTTTGCAAACTTCCTTCATTTATTTATTATACAACAAATTTTCTTTACTCGCAAAAGATTGCGTCAACTTTTGCGCATCTTCAGATTTGATTGTGATCTCTTTTCCTCTCTCTTTTTTTCTTTTAATTTTGTCAAGAGTTGATCGCAACATCTAGCAGACTATCCACGCCAGTCTCATAAATAGATGTGTGGCATGGGTGCATATGGTGTTCTCGCTCGCTGATATAAATCATCTTGCAACCGTGTGTCATAGATAGGAAACGAAATTAAAGCAAAAAGGGAGCATTGTTCTCGATCTCGCAATAAGGAACAAAAACAGATTTTGCCGTGAAACAGATCCTACATAATACATTAATATCATCTCGCGTCTTTGTAGAATCATCTTTAAAAAAAACCAGTTGTCCGACTCTCTCTTTTTTTCTCCCGTGTGTTCTCTCCTTCTGTAGTATCGTCAGTTAAAATAAATGGAACTTGGATAAAATCATTTAATATAACAATAACGACAAGACAGATAAAATTTGTACATATTTTTTTTATCATTAAATACAATTTATAAAATTAATATGCAAATAGCAGCTCGTGAAAAAAAAAAGGGATCTCTGAATGGCCGGCAGCAAAGCGAACAGATAAATATAAATGCAAATAAACGGAATCACTAGTTCCCTTGATACTTATATATGAACTTACCCGGATGTATTACATTTGCATCGAATAAGATACACGCTATTCTCAGTGCGCCGACCTCTCACGCTAACCCTTTCTCTTGATACAATAAAATCAACGTTTTGCGAAACGCGCTCTGTTCCTCCCGTTGTCAAATGTGAATCGATTATCCTCGTGAAACAAGTACCCGCACGCAAAGTGTTATACACGTCTGAACTATATACCGAGGCGCCTAGTTTACGCTCGCATCCTATAAATACAAATGTACGTCCGACACGTGTTTAGAATATACAGTTATTCGGAAACGCAAGAAGACTATTGAAATAAATAGCACCGCACGCAAGATATATGAAGATCCGTGTGTAATCACATGAAAATATAGAAAAGAGAAAGAGAGAGAGAGAACAGAGAGCACACTCGTTTCCACGTGTCTCCGCCGGGATTACGTCACCGCACGTGGCGGAAAAGGGTAAAAACGGGTCGCGCGGGCCCATTGCCAGCTGGCTTGGGGGCAGACGCTCGATGACAGAAATCAGCGTAGCAGAAATAACAGCTAGTTTGTTGCCGGCGAAATTACGAGAAGATACGGGAAAAACGAGGTAAGAGCCTGATGGCGATGACAAGAATCGACTTACTCTCTTTTTCGCGTTCACGCTTATCATGGTGGAGTCGCCAGAGATCGGAGTGGCCGATTGACCGCGCTTACCGGCCTGGTGTGACAGCTTTAAATTAAAATCACCGTCGCCGGGCGCTCTGACGCACGACGACTTGCGCATTAATCAACTGCGACACCAGCCGTTATCGCGAGCAAAATATCAATCTGTGAGCACGTGCGGTGAAATTAGTTTGTTTACCGAAGACATTCTTTATTATTGGAGGAAATTGCAAGAACTTTCTACGGTATAAAATAGAGAAGAGAAAAAGAAACAATTTAATCAGAATTTCATTGTCTCTCTCTTTTTCTCTCAATAATATGTAAATATAATGAAACATATAATTATTTGAAAAAAGCGCCTTTTTGTTCCATTCAATTAACGTTGACGCACACATGATTCATGTTTGATAACGGCTCTTCTTTTTTTTTTGCAATCATTAAATTATCTTGTCAAGTTAAAAACAATATTATTTTAATCAAAGTATTTTTCTTCGTTCTACGATTTACACGACAATTTTGCGAAAGATACATGTATAAGTAAGATGCATCTACATCGAAGTTGAAGAAGTACTGATTGAATAGAAAATGTATTGGAAGAATAAATTTCATTATTACAGTTTGAAGACTTCGTATTAAAATGGGCAAACACAACGTCGAAGTGCATTGCTTTTAACGAACTGAATATCTACAACGCAAAAGAATATCTACAAAGCAACAATTTTAACAGTTCGTTCTTTCGTTGTACTTATTTTCAGTTTTATCGTATAATTTTCTTCGCACAGATACATTATTTTTTTACACATGAGATATTAACACATTATTGTGACGTTGACTATGTAAATCGTTATTGTTTCACGTTATCATTATCGTATTACCATAGGCATGCAATTGCACGAAATGTTTTGGAAAATCTATCGCGCGTATCTAATTACATATATTAATAACATATCAAATTGAAATCACACATTCTATTAACATTTTATACAAATAAGTAGGGAATTATACGGTTAGGTTTATTTAAATTTTATAGGTTAATATATATTAGGTTTTTATTTAAATTATAATATATACACATTCACACACGCACACATACATAATATGTTTTCATACAAATAGATTTTCAATTGTGCGAATCCAACTTTATCTGTTTTTGATCAAATGTTTTGATAAAATATATATATATATATATAAAATATATATATGTCTACGGTTATTTTAACGAGAAAAATACGAATGAATAAAATAAATTTCAAATATCGAAGATGGCGCGTTATATTTGCAATGTAGAAATATCGATTGTCAATAAATTCGAAAATATTCTCATTGGTCGTCCACGTGCGGACTGTTTGCGGAGCGTTTTCTCTCTCCTTACGTGTCATGTTCAATTTTAGGCATCTGCGACACGCATGAAATATTATGCACTTTGACCAACAACCAACAGCTGTTTCTCGGTAACGATAAATTTTGATTTTTTGAATAACGTCTTCAAAATATCTTACGTATGTATTTGTGATAATTTGAAATTGATTGAAATAATGTCCTACTGACTGTATCGTGCACATTCACGTCTCTTCTCTTTGACAAAATATATTTAAATTGACAAACGCGCGATTTATCTACACATAAGTGAGAAGTTCTCAGATAAAAAAGTTTCGCCGTGTATTAGAGATTACATTTGCCCAAATAATTAATTTGAGAATAGCGTGCATAGAGATGGTTTCCTGGCAAAAATTTCATTTGCCACGTTATATCGTCGCGTTTCCGCAGTTATACGAGATATAAAAGTGCATAACGCTATCGGGAGCTTTAAAATTGAATTTAGTGGAGTAGTAGGTGCCGTTAATACATACTCGTTGATGTAACATCCCACGAGAATCATGTATTTTCTCTGACCGCGGTTTTACGTCATATTTAAGATTATTTTTCTTTTAGAGTTATTAAAATGTCCGTCTCTGTAAAATCTACTTTTTTAATGTTAAAATTGGTCAAAGATATAAACAAAACAAGTATATTCAGTAATAATGTAAAATCTGCGCAGAAAAGTACGAAGTTTGATTTCGTGCACAAGGAGAGAGAACGGTTTTCTTGTACCATTAACTTCATTAAAACGCACACACACACACACACACACAATAACATAATATATACTGTATTAACTATGTTATTGCATCGTTATACTCGTATAATTTTCTTGGTATATTTCTTTTTTATTGTGGAGATTTTACTAGGAGGGAATGCAGATCACATACAGTATTTTCGATCCGAGCTGCCTGGTCGCAGCAGTGCATTTAATAATTTGATTCCTATTTCGGAAATGGAATTTCTGGTTGACCTCGGATATGCCAGCTGTCTTCCAAAAAAGGATCCGACTATCGTACAGCGCGGTATATGTACTATTTTTAGAAAAAAAAAAAGTAGAATTATTTTACGTTAATGTATTTAATTAAACACAATGCAATAATTTTGTTATTAAGCACGAGTTGCAACACAATGTACTTCTTCGCAAATTATGTTGTTAGATATTATTATCAATTGATAAATGCAATTAGTCAGCTGTGACATCAATAAATTTAATGGGATTCAAGTAAGCTTTTCCGTAAGCTCTTACTTGAATAACGGAGTTTAATACGGCTATATCAAACGCAACAAACTGGGACCGTTCATGACGGTAAAATCGTGTAAATATTAATAAAACGCTTAGTACGAAATTGTCTCTAAAGCGTGTGTGCATTGTGCCATTTGAAAGAGCTTGATATTGTCGAACAAACACAAATTTATCGGAGCGTTACTTGAATTTCAACAATCGATGTTATTTTGCAGATGACATATTGTTTCGTACGCGTGTTCAGAGCGTACGAAACGATAAAAAGCGAATAAAGATAATGGCAAAGAGAAATGTTTGTTCCAATTATAAAATTTTTTATTTGTTAATTTCGATTTGTTGTTTTCTTTTTTTTTGTTTTTTCTAATTTTATATATATATATATATATATATATATTTCTGATACTCTAAATCCCGAGTTGATCGTGTCCGTTTCTGGAACAGATTCTCTTTTCCGAAGTACAATTCTCTCCCATTTGTACGTCGCAAGTTTCAAGTGATCGTCTCCGAATAACCGCGCGCATGAACGTAAATGGTGGTGACGTAGTAATTAATGCACAACGGTTGCATCTCGCGACATTGCGGAATCGAACTTGACGTTTATTAGATCATTAATCTATCTAGGTGTGTAAAACATGACGTATATATTGCTGCTTTAAAACAGATAACTGATGAGAAAGAAAGTGTGTAAGAAAATTTCAGGTTTATCTTGTTTTTCTCTCTCTATGAAAAATTGAGACATATTTAACAGAAATAACGTATACAGATATCAAATCGCGTACGTTGGATTTCTATAAAAATTTCCACACAGGTTCACGCGCGAAATCCGAGCGACAACGCGTTATACTCGACTATTGTTAAAAAGCGAAATACACTACCTACACTAATTCGCGAAACACAGTTATGTACACGCGGGTTTGATCAAACACAAAAGCGAGACGTTACGCTTCCGAGTTAACAATTTGTCTTTGGGTTTTCCAGTACAACGACGACGAATCGCGCTACAATGAAACCAAAGAAACTCAAGTGGAACAACTTGTGCAACTTGTACCTGAACAGCAGCAGAAAGCTCGGTATTAAGCTCCGTCGTGCGTAAGACGGGAAAGTGCCACGCGTTCTACTTTTGATCAGTTAAATCCTTCGTTGAAAAAAAAAACATCCCGTAATATCCGTGAAATTGAAAAAGAACCAGTCGAAACGATCGCATTGAGAAGATGAAGAACGTAAATTCAAGCGTTAAATACTGTTCGCTTGATTCGTTCCATTCGTTTCTTCGGCTTTTTTCATTGTCGCGACCTCGGTAAAGCGTGAAATAGTGATAACAAATGTTTTCGAGTGTGTAACTCCAATTTGTGACCACAATGCTCAATAATTTCACCATGTCGGTCATCGACGATTTCGAAGACATCGCGTCGAACAGCACCAACACGACGGACTTTCCCGATTACGACATCAACGAGTCCTTCAGCCATTTTAATTGGAAAGAGCTGGGTCCTGTGCTGGTGGTCTACATTTTGACTTTTTTCCTCGGATTAATCGGTGAGTTACCGTCTCTTTGTTTATTATATTTGTTTCTAGAACTTTGAAATCCTCTGTGAATCTCTTCCAAAACACTTTTCCTTATTGTTATAGCTTTACGTTACAACCACAACATGACCTTAATGTACTTATTACATTTCCTGAAATTCTACCTAACGTAATACATAATTTATGAATTTCACGCATGAAATAAATTCTACGCTTATTAAAATATCTAATACCTCGCAATGTTTACTCAATACATAATGTATAATTTCAATACATTATATGTGTACACAAAATTTATAATATTGTGAAGTTGTATAACAATATAAAAGCTGTTTAATTTCAGACCTAAAGTTCAAAGTTAAAATTGTGAATTCTCAGTACAAGTTTATTTACTAATTCTATTTTAACGAGTTTATTTTAACGTCTGGCATATTTTATTGTTTCTAACTGAATTCATTTATTTATTAAATTAATAATAAACAAGAAGAAGATTTATTTATTTATCTTTTAACTTATTACGAAAAAACACCACACGTTACTAATAGAATATTTCAGTTCCATAAAATCGCTAATTGGCGAGTACTCATCAAGAGCGCGGAACAATACAACGTCTTCAAAGAGGTGAATGAAAATGTTTGCAAACAACACTTCTTCTCGCGCGGAAACGTTTTCAACGACGCCGCTTTACAAGTTGCATTGCAGCTTAATATGCGCTCTTAATTATACGTCGTCATGATTACGGTGCGGGTAACGAACAATATGAACTTTCGAATGGCTCCCAGAAAGCTCGTATTGTCCTTTATTAGTACTAGCAAAACACGGTTTCTTTTATTTCTCTCAGTTTCCTGGAATCGCAACAGTTGTTTCGAAATTAATAATAGTTATCTAACGATAAGCAGGGTTAGCAAGAATGTGAGACAAGTTCACGAAACGCAATTAGTTGCAAAACTACGTTTCAATTTCCGCGATTGTGAAATTTCGAAGATGAAGAAATTTGTCGATAAAATTGCAAAGTATGCGTATAGTATAACATTAGTTTTCTCTTCCGTTATATAAGAAATTTTCGGAATAAATATTTAGAAAATTAATGTATATTTTTTTTTGTTTATATATGTCATTGATATGTTTAGACACGTAATTGGAAATAACGATATTTTACAAAACATCTGTTTAAAGTGTATTTTTCTTAGTAATAATTAACTCTTACAAAAGTTTTACGTAGTAGTCAATTAACTCTTACGTTAACTTCTTTAAATAAGAGCTCGCAATTATTCGCAACAATTACGAAATACTGTCGCTTGTTTTGTGCGATGTTAAACTTGTTAACAAACGTATATATAAAGGTTTTGAACAAAACCGCTATTATACATATTTAGCCAACTATTCACTGACAAATAAATAATTTTTCCTCTTTGAAGTATGTTGTAATATCAAACAACTTTTCTGAAACGTTATTTTTATTTTTTTTTTCCAGGAAACGTTATTATCATCACTTCGACTCTTTGCCCGAGACTCAGACCGCTACCGGCGACGCCGACAAACGTTTTCCTTGGAGGTCTGGCTACAGCTGATCTTCTGTTGATCATGTTCTGTATACCGGTGAAGGTAAGTAAAACTAACGCAACTTCTTACATCGCCGGGATAATGAGCTTCTGTCGCTTAATGACCGTGAGTTTATATTGACGACTACTTGCTCATGTCGCGTTCGTCCAATATTGATTCACCACGTTAAATTTTATTCATTAAACGTCGTTGTTAGCAACACAGGTCGTTTGCTTTACCGTCATTAGTAATTGTAATCGGTGACAAATGTTGAATATAAAAATTTCTTTTTTATTATTAATTTCTTAACAATTTTACTTTTTATGCACGAAGATAATAATAACTTTTTTTACTGTTTTACGCAGTAAGATTGGGATTAGTTTTTTTTGATAAAAGTGGATCGAATAAAAAAAAACGCTCGCGGCTATTAATCTTGTTCTGCACCAGCAATAAATTAGTCTTGTCCACAATGATCGTATAATGCGGGGCATCGTGTGTTAACACACGCGACACGTGTCTGACTTTATTGTTTGGTTGCCTTCCTTTAAACGACGCGTCACTATAAAATAACAACTGCACCTTTATTGGTACTGCTCATCGGTGACTATATACGAAACGGAAACTCGCTTTTACAATCTTCTTTAGCTAATTTCTTCGCTACGGCGTTTTAATAAATAATTAAAACTCCGATGAAATATGAATAAAAAGGCAAACCGCTCTGTGTTAAATGACATGACGTGTGAACAAAGTTTTATCACTAAATAGTAAAATAACTTATCTTTTTGATGAAGATTTTACTTTGTACTCTTACTACTTTACACTTCGTTCTTTGTGTAAGATAACTGTCATATCTCTTTCTAGTACTTTGCAAGCTATTCAAACAGAGCCGAATGTGTTTCGTTTCGAATAATAAAATCGAAAATAAAACTGAATAACGCGCCAGATTCTAAAATTACTTGAGAAGCGCGTTTAAGTGGCGCGCACGCAAATTTATCCGAGCGGTACTCGAAACGCTATGTCGCAATTTGTTTATCTTGCCTCGTGCTCTCAACAGTTTCCCATTTAGTCTTTATAAGCTTTCCGTCTTTGATCATCGTGACGTGCGTTCTAGTTTCTCGATTATTAAGTTCATTGACTAGGTAAAACTTTGAACATACCGCAAGTTCCGTGCTTTTGCTTATAATCATTTAACACAATTTACATACGCGTGACAAAGAGACATGAGAGAGAGAAAGAGAAATATAATTTATTTAGCTTGTATATAAATAATTACATTGTACATATATACATATAATTTAAAATGATATTTACATATAAATGTAAAGCATAGAGATTTGTTTGCCTTATGTACACGCTCTTTTGAAACTTCTAATCAACCCGCTAATCAAAGTCTTGTGTAGTAATTAATGACTTTCTTCTCTCGAGGAAAGTCATTAATTAACGAGATAATTAATTCACGAGAAAAAGAACTTTCGAGTAGGTTGTTTTTTAAGATGTTTTGTGAAAAAATGTTATTCTCAGAAAGATAAATTCGTCGGGCACTACAATTCGATTGTTAACTATTTGTCATTTGGGCGCCTGCGGTTTTCGTGTACGCGCCGTACGGACCTTATAACGATTGTTTCTCGTTAAACAAGAAAGGAGAAGGAAACGATTGCCCGTCACAGAGAAATCGTGGAAAACTCTCCCGTTGCTTTGTTCCCAATGACAACAATTTAACTTTTAAAGTCTGCGTCACCAATCCGAACTTAATTAATTCCGGATTAGTGATTTTGTTGTCCCTTTTTAGATAGAGATTCAACACAATCCTCATCTGCAATACAGACAAATTGAGTTTAACGAGAATTGCCGTTAACTAACCGGTCGATGCAATTGGGCTTAAAGTATAAGCTCCGTCGTAAAAGAGAAAAGTGAAAGCGCGGAAAAACCGAATTGAACGCTCTGCGCTAACTCGATATTCTTTGCTAGTTTTATTAACTAAAATAAAAGCCTAGCAGAAATAATATGTATGTATATTTAATGATCCGTGAAGGCGTTTATTGAAGGCGTTACGGAAGAACTTAATAGTCAATTTAGCTGTCGTTGTCGTGGTGACAATTTGCTTGGTTTATTGATCGTAAATTATCACTGAAATTTGCAATTGACTCTTACTCTCGTCGAGAAGCATTAAAAAACACAAAAAACGATTTTCTGCAATAACCTCTGCTGTTTGGTAAAAAGTAAAACTATTTTTTCTCTAAACATTTCTAGTTTCTATTTTGTATTCTTCTCTCGTTAAATTTTATTAAAATTTTCTTTTGTTTACTCTCTCTCTCTCTCTCTCTCTCTTTCCCTGCACTGTAACTCTCTGTTACCACTTTTTATTGCACCACGACGTTTGTAAACTATTATGTAAAAGAAGAGATTTTTCTTCTCACAGACTTATCTAAGTTTCTCAATAAAAAAGATATGATCGTGACATAAAAACAGAGATATAACGAAGATCGACATTTGCCTTGGAATCATCAATTTTAGTTTAACTCCAACCATTTTCCCAATGCGTTGACCAGAATAGATTTTTTTTTTTAATCTTGAAATATGTCTTCAATCTTTACGTTCTGACGCGGAAATAACTTTTGGAAGATCGATTAGAAGAAAGATAAATTGTTATGAAGTTGATCACATTTTATTAAAATATAATATATTATATCCATTTTTATATTATATCCACATCTTCTCCCTCTCTTCTTTTTACACAAAAGATGTATTTTTAAAATTAGGTAAAATAATTAAAGTACTTAAACTGTACATTCAAAAGAATTCAAGTTTAAGAGAATTTCAGGACGTTTATCGTTTGCGAATTTTGTCTGAGATGTTTCCACGAAGAATTTATTATTCTTCTGGATATATTTTCGCGATTTTAAGAGTACGCGATTTCCAAATATTGACGCGAGTGCATATAAACAGATCGTAAATAGCAACAGCTGTTTTTTATCGTTTGTACAACCGAATCTTGATGGTCTAATCTTTATAAAGTCGTTGTTTATGCCCTCACGTCATTTGGTCTATTCGAATTTGCTGTGACGTTTTATTGAGTCGAACACCTCTGCCAACGGAACACGATTCTTAACATTTAATTTTATTGGATGATTGCTCACGCTTAACCCCAATATCTTCGCTATACGAGATATACACGGTGCTCTGGAAATCGTCTATTTCGTATTGCAAATCAAAATTGTTTCGAGAATTACAGAAGAAGATTTGTAAAAATATATATTTTTTGTTTTGTTTTACGTGAATGAAATGTTTCAAACATTTATACAAAAAAAAAGAAGCGTTTTTTTATGTATTCTTTTCGAAGTAAACGAACGAGCAATTTGATACGTACGTCTCTATACGCCACATTGGTGATTGTGAATGATATACGTTTTTCGATTGAATTGATTTTGCAATTTAATGGAATTAACACCTCTTACAATACGTTGCGCTTGGTACACTCGAAAATCGAGGCGCGAAAATCACAAAAAATCAATACCTCTGATACAGATTAGCTGGGACGCATACAGCGCAAAATCATAACGTTTTACAGTATCCATTGGATCTATTTATTTAATATCTCTTGACGCTTCAGTAATATCTCGATTAGATTATATTGACGCTAGTGATTTTGGCGTAATAAGTGACATGTATTTATAATGTCATTATAACGTTAATAATTAACGTTGCAGTATCTACCGAACAGTTTCGGGTTGCACGCAAATAGTGTTGTAAAGTAAAATTTGCGATAAAATTTAAGAGATTGTCACTGTTTTTTTTCTTCTCACTGAGTTTATACAAAATGCAGAATAACATTGCACAAGTAATAGTGAAATACATCAAGTAATTTTAAATTAAATCAGCATGTTCTCGTCGTGTTAATAATTGAAAATTAATTGAATGCTGTATTGTAGCAAATAATATCGTAGCAAACGATGAAACGTTAAATTTGAAACGGAGAGTAAATTCATACATCTAGCCAAATTGAATACATACTGCAGTAAATCAAATATATTCATATATATATACATATATGTATGTGAAATAAAATATATATTTACAATATTTGTATAATAAAATAATGTTGAGATCGTAAAACAGGTTGTTATTCATAAAATGAGGTTTTGATGCCGTCTGATCTTGATCGCGTATATCGATAATTACTGATAAGTTTTCGTGACACGTGTTGTTTTAACTCACTTAAATTGATGTTAACAGTAAACGATTTAATTGCTCTCGAATACCGTCCGCACTGTTATATTCGGCCACACGCACAAACTGAGATGGAAAATGTATATTGAAAAAATTATTTATATATTTCCACGTTAATCTCTTACACACACACACACACACACAATTTCTGACACTCGTAAATATTTTTCTAACAATAATCAGCAGTCGATATCTGAATAATGTGATCAATGTGTCACGCGAATATGGTTAATTAATAATTTACATAATTTTTATTTTTCAAGTAAATGAGTAAAAATAATCTGGTTACGCTATTGAGCCAAGTTGACGAGTTTTTCGGAACTTTAAGTTCCGCGCTGTGTTCGATTATTCTGAACTTGGGAACGGTGCAAAATAAACAGAGCGCGCGTGTTCGCGAAATACATTATTTCCAGCTTAACATGCGCACACGCTCGGGTACTATCTTTTAACATCTATGTGAGATCTATGCGAGTGATGAATGGAACGCGTTGCGCGGCGCAATGGTCGATTATCCGACGTAACGGGAAATGTTCATGACGACAATTTATGGGCGAGTATCCTTTACCAGAGCGCAAATGAACGCGATATATGTGGCCATTCGATTTCAGCTTCGTGCTGCTCGACGAATATACGTGCACCTGTTGCACTCATACACACACACAAACACACAACATCCGCTTCTTAGGTTCTTAGCAACTGATCAAACAAGCTCTTAGGCTTCTTTTGCCCAATTTCGATCGTAAGAGCAGCCAAGACGTAACGTATCTATGGAATATGTTATTCTTGAGTTTTTACACAATTATACACAATTATTTTTTATGTTTTTTGTTTGGTAT